AATTTGTTGAAATCCACGATGCTCCTGTCAGCCTTGCAGATGAAACCAATGATCCAACAATAGCATCTGAGGCAAATTCGCTTGCATTGCACTTGGAAGATTTTAATTTCATTCTGACACTAATAATTTGATACGATCTTCTATTCCAAGTTAACATTGTCAGTAAGTCTATGCAGTCAAAAACAGTGGACTTGCTGGCTTCTAACACTCTACTAGAAAATTGCCTCAAATACGTAAAAAATCACCGAGAGTCGGGATACTGTTCTGCTGTTATAACCGCCAAAGAAATCGCTGCGGAACTGGGAATTGAAGCAGCTTTCAACGAGACAAGAAGAGTGCGGAGAAAGAAAAGGCTGTTTGAGTACGAGGCACAATACGAAATTCTTCCAAATCCTGAAGAGAATTACAATTGCACTGTTTTCTACCCACTGATTGACAGCATTATCGTTTCTATTGAAAGTCGCTTCACACAGCTTTACAGTCACAACGAAACGTGGGGATTCCTCTATAACATCAAGAAACTACCTGATAAAGAGCAACGTAATGCATCATAAGTTAAAATTCAAAGTATTTTATTAATTAATATTATTAACAGTGGTGACAGAAAAGTAGTCTACCAAGAACGCTGTTCTGATAGCTCTAGGAAGAAGACAAATAACAGGCGCCATTTTCCAGTGCATGTTGGCATAACCACTGACAATTTTGAATTGTATTATACAGGGTGGCACAAAAATCGCGCACCATAGGGTAAATTACAGTAAATGTACTAATCGTTTGCCTTTAACTTGAAAATACTTCAATTTGCTGTAAACATAATGTTTTACAACATAATGTTTGAACATATCTTAACTCCAACCTCTCGTCGTTTTTAAATTTAGCTGCCGTTGCTTACCTGCAAAGAAAGAAACAATAATTGATTTAGTGCGTTTCTATTGAAAGTCGCTTCACACAGCTTTACAGTCACAACGAAACGTGGGGATTCCTCTATAACATCAAAAAACTACCTCAGGATAAAGAGCAACTGATGAAGCTGTGCAAAGACCTCCACTTAACATTGCAGGATAATGATTGTTCAGATATAGATGGTGTCCAACTATACAAGGAACTGCATCATATTCAGCCGGTCCTACTCCAAGATTCAGTAACACCTCTTGAGGTGTTGCAGCACATCCATCGCACTCAGATGCATGCATTATTCCCAAATGTATGGGTGGCGTTGAGGATCCTACTGACGATTCCGGTTACTGTTGCGAGTGGGGAGAGGAGTTTTAGTAAGTTGAAACTCATGAAGACATACTTACGTTCCAGTATGACACAAGAGAGGTTAGCGGCACTGGTCATGTTGTCAATTGAAAACCAGATCGCTCACAGAATCGATTACACAGTGGCAATCAAGTTTTTCGCCGCAGCCAAGTCGAGAAAGGTCTCGTTTTAGAAACATCATGACAAGTGTCCAGGTGTTAGGATTGCACCTAGACGACAATGTGTGTAATTTTTGCATGTGATTTGTATGTGATATTTTAAATCGGTGTCATCATATACCGTGTATCCTTATAATTAAAAAACTGAATCTGTTTGCCTGGAGTGAGCTGTTGAGTTAATCTCTCGCATCAAAGGAGAATTAAATTACGGTGTATTCGTGTGGATTGATATTATCTTTGGAAGCAAAAGTATGCCTTGACTTGGCTTTGATTATTTACAAATGTAACGAAATGATTTCCATCAGTTCCAGCTCCCAGTCAGCTACTGGAGATAAGACCCTAATCGCCAGAATTGCGGTCGTGCTTCGCGCCGCAGTTGTTGGAGTGGGGCGCCATTAGAAGTTCTCGCCCGGGGCGCCAATATGCCTAGAAACGGCCCTGCTCGCGGATGTGATGAGCCGAGGGTGAGCATTCCCCGAGCCATATTTTAATGTGAATTTATAGCAGATAAGTGCAGTTCTGAACTGGAATTTGTGCAATTCAAAACTGGGCAAGAATTACATTTTGGAACAAAAATTTAACTTTAAAATGATGCTAAATCCAGTGTTTCTTCCCAAACTTTCGCGCTCTGCGCCAGGCGGGGGGCCTAACGCCGTATCAATCACTCCTACTGAGACGTTATAATCATTTGTGATACTTGGATTTTTTATTATTAATACAATATACCCTGATATTCCCCCTCAAGGAATTCATGTCTAGAGAGGGGAGGAGGGGAAGGAGAAACAGTAAGCAAGCAGACAGTGAAATCCCTTTTCCTTTCTCGGCATGGAAAGAAAGACCTGATTCGGCAGTGGCTTCCGGATTCAACGACCTGAGCATGGAAATGTGTGAGTATTCTCCGCGGCATAAATGGGCAGTGTAAACTCTCCCTATTGCTTCTGCACAATTTGTTCAAGAATGTTCATGCGATATCGTGCCAAAAACACATCTTGAGAAGCAGCACGGAGGCTACCATCAATGGGAGCTGATAGAAAATCCAAGCCGTTCCTTGACCTCTGCTTTGAATAGAGAGAAAGATCAGTAAATGAGGTTCAAATAGGAGCTGCATGGCGGGAAAAATTTGATAAGGTATTAGGGGATCAGTCTTCGATTAGTCAGTTTTCTTTGATAACGACAGCTTCGTTTTCTGGTCCAATCATGGCACTCATTTCATGGAAGTTTCCAAAGATTCTAGGGAGACCTTCATGCAGCATCTTTGAAAGTGAGTCCATGTGAAGGAAAAATTGCAGCAACTAGAGCCATGTTTCCTCCTCGTTGCGTATTAATTCAGTCCAGCCTCATCGATGGGAAAACAGGAAAAAGCCCAACTGCAAATTTCAATATGGAAATTGAAACAAAACCTTGCATCAGGAATTCAATTACTTCACAGATCTAGATAGGGTTGCCATATTTAGGACAGTCAAAAAGAGGACGCCTTCTGCTAGGGCAGAAATTTGAAGGCGAAAAAAAAATTTTAAAAACCGGACGTACGGTAACCCTAGGTCTAGATGTTGGCGTAATGAAATGTGTGCCAATATCTCTTTTGTGTAGATGAGTGGAGATCCAACCATTGATAGACCATATCCGCATGCAAACCAAAATTCCCCTTGCGCTCAGGCATTCATGAGGAAGTTCCGTTTAGTGTCCCTCTCCATCTGATTGTCCATATGGAGGCAGGTATTCATTTGGGGGAGGGGAGAATTGTTGGGATTCCTGAATTTCATTCATGAAAAGGAGATAGGGTAAGTGATACAAACTCCGACCCTGCTATAAAATCCAAGCTATGTGCTTCAACGTAATCAGACGAAATTACACAGATGTTTGATCTTTAAAATAGGCAGTGTGTGCATTTTCCTCTCGATTGGCATAGATCCCAAAAAATGAATTCCAAACAGGGGTAAGGAATCGGAATTAGTATCGCCTACCCTACTGTTGGTGAACACCAGTAAGGAATGAAAGTACATATATTGCTGGGAGTAGCCCACTTGTTTTTTTTATTTCAAGATGACATGGGAGAGCATGATTCATGAAGAATCAGCATTGGCTATCACATTGGAAGGCATTTGGAATCGAGACTCGTTTGAAGACCTCTGCTACCTATTTGATGTATCCATGGCTTGGTCCTTGGATTGAAGGAGGCTCTCCCAGTCGGGAGCTAACACAAGCCGGTGTCTCACACGGCTCAATGTGTTCATATCTCCACTTTTCTCATCTTCACTCAATGTCACTGCTGCCAGATCCTGCAAGCACACAAGGATTCACGTTTTTTTATTTTGCATATAAAATACCCTCCAATATAACCACCTGGTGCCAAAGTGGTTTTTCCTTGTTCAATAAGACTCAATAGCTGATGTATGTTGATGACAAAATAAACTGAAGTTGTATGTGAAGATTTCTTTTTTTTTTTTTAAAGACAGGACATATGACAGACATACAGGACAATGGACGCATTTTACATGACACAGAGAGGAAGGGGGTGCCCGCTTGGCACGAGCACCACATCCGTATCACAGTCCCTTAGGCTGGGACACCCCTTTACAGTCCTGTAGGAGGCCTTAGGGGCAGCTCATGGGTTGCCTACGCCCATGACTGGCACGAGTGGTTTTTAAGGTGTACTGCACCCGCATCTCCTAAATGTGGCACACAGGGTGGTGTGTGTGTTATCCCACACTAAGCTGATACTCCCCATGAAAGCAGGTGGGTTGCCTGTCAGCAGAGGAAGAGCCCGTCGTCACACGGATGCGATCCCTCGCCTTCCAGGTTTCACTCAGAAGCCAGAACCACTCAGCCACCTAACCCCGGTTGTATGTGAAGATTTCAGATACCAAGGTAACAGACAACTGTTAGCAGCTAGGTTTTCCAATGGGTACTGATTGCATGATGACAGAGATTTAAAGTGAAGCCTTTATCAGAAGAATGAGAATACCTAAAGAGAGTAAGAAAAGGCCCCAAATGCAAAACTCCCAAAACTGTAGAACAAAGATTTCACTTAGAAACCAGAGAAACCAGATGTGTACAGGCACTGTTTATGGTAGTCCAATAGCCATGTTTCTGGAACAGCCTAATCAAACTTAAACCATGTAACAACTGTTCTGATTGAATTATTTCATTAGTGAAAAATAAATACAAAAAGGGTTCTTGGTTTCACCCACAAATAGCCATTTGAAAAGTCTGTCAGTATATTAACATGGAGGCTCCTGTACATATGCAAAGGACATCATGTCTCCAAAGGAATCCAACTATATTCCAATGTTCTTCTCTCTCATTCTCATTTAGGGCTGTTCTCACACTACAACAGGTTAAATACTAGTACATGTCACAATCTAAAATGTGCTCTCATGAGAATCCTCCAGATCTTGAGAGGCAAGTCCTGCACTGAGAGAAGCAGTATTTCCCTTCACCCATTTAGAACCATCATAGCAAAGGCCACCATTTTCAAAGGATTGTTGTGAAATAGAATCAACTTAATTCCAGCAACTAGACAGTCAATTGGAAATGCCTTTAGTTTGATGTTCCTGAGCTACTTATGAACAACTTAGTGTTTTGGACATATGTACTTCAGGCAACCAGTTTTACTTCTCCACTTGCAATCACTTTCCTGTGTGTGGCACTAAGGCAATGGAGTGAAAGATCCTCTATCCCCTCTATATGAATGTCAATTGTGAAGCTGTCCAATGGAAAATTTTGAGGCAACAGGTCCTACCTGTAGGAACCCAACTTGAGTTCCCATTTCAACATGTAGGATGTGACCTTGGAGCACCAAATCAGCTTTCCCAGACTTGCGCACCTTGAGTACCCCAAGCTGACCCTCAGGCAGATCTTTTAAAGTACATCTCATCTCTGTATCCTCCATGGCTTCCTGTTAAATAAGCATGCATAAAAAATTCCAAGCATGATGGTGGAAAATCACCACATGAAGACCACAGAACCAACTGGACTCACTTTAGAAGTCCCTGGGGTTTCATTCTTGGCACCAGGTGTCAATCCAGGTGCTTGTTTCACTCGGTGCTCCTTTGATAGGAGACTCAGCCCAGGCAAAGAATCTGGAAGCTGTAAACATTTCAATTTGAAAATGAAGTAAATTTTGTCAACCTTTGATATATGGCATGCCATGACATGATATATGATATGATACAAGAATAAAGAACCATATTTATTGGTTTGCTCAACATAAATCCATCAATGGTTCAATATATGGCTCTGAACCTTGTCATTGTGAAATAGTACTGTCTACATTTTGTAAGTATGCTTACTTAACACATTGGCTGCCAAGACCATTGCTAGTAATACATTTGGTTAGTTAATAATTCTACTTGGCAGCCAATTTGTTAAATCAAAGTATCATCAAAGAATCACCATCAAAGAATCGTTCAGAACAAAATTTTTTTCATTGCTTCATTTGTTTCATTCAAAAATCAAGTCAGGAAAAGCTAGATAAGGTAGAGGAAAGATAAGCAAGCAAACAATTCATAAAAAAAGGCAACCTGGAGAAAGAGGAAATCAGATGGAGGGTTTTGAATGAGGTCCAGGAGGGATGTTTCTGGGGGTAGCTCAGGGCTGTGCCTTTTAAGGGCTGGTTCTGCTGCCTTGGGTTCCTCAATTGAGGAGATCAATGGCTTCTTCCCCTTCACATCTTCTTCTTCTGCCTCCTCTTCTAACCTCTCCCTCTTGATCACAGGTGGATGCCTCTCATTTTTAATGCTCTCTTCCTTGAAGAGACAGCCTGAAACATAACATTTTAAAAATAACTTTTGCAACAGGACATTTCATTACATACAAGTAGACCAGCTTCACCTGGATCACAAGGATTTATGTCAAAATATACATAACTGACATAGCCAACAAATACAGAAAGTAAAACATAATTTGAAATACAGTCACCTCTGAACATCTGAACATCAATAACCCAATGCTTTTCTCATATCAGTCCAAATAAGCAGTCCTAGTAAAAGCATCACCGAGCTCCAGAAAAACCTCTCCAATTTCATCCAAATGCCCTTCTGTTTTTGGCAAGGATGCACTGGACTCTCATCTTTTCAACAGAAGCTAATTTCTTAGTTCTTTATTGGTTGCTGCTTTTTCATGTCAACTTTTCACAAAAAGTAATCAGGAGTTTGGAGTTAAAGTTATAAAAAGATTTTTCCTGTAAACAAGTTCATCCTTTGAGGCCACTTCCTTTTTCTACTATTTTGAATCATTAGTGAAATAAACTGTCAATGTCTCAACTGCAATTTGCAAAGATCAAGATGCCAAGTACATTATGTACAGGGTGGTCCACAATTGTCTCCCCAAAAGTAAAAGCTTATTAATCAGAAAGTATTCATCCGATTTCAATGATATTTAACTCAAACAATAGCCAATTCAATATATTTTTACTGCAAAAAATTTCAGCATTCCATAAGAAACTAGAACAAAGTTACACCATAACAAATGAAAGTACCCATATCATGCAACTAAAGCCTGTAAGTATCACAATCCCTTATGAAATTCGCCATTCATTTGGGGTTTCTCATGCATTGTGAGGGATTGTCTATGTCATGGGTGACCTCAGTTTCCTGGAGAATAGGAATATTGTCATTTGGTTGGATAATTTGAAAAAAAAAAAGCAAATTCGTGCTCGGAAAAATATGAAATCACTTCAGTTTGGGTCCAAATGCCTCAGTTCCTGATGAGAAGATCATGAAGGTGATTCATAAGAGGTTTCTGAGCCTGAAGAGATTCATCGGCAGACCTATGACAACCTAGATGTGCTGAAACCAGCCATTAGAGATGCTTTCGCCATATGAGGACCAGAGACGATTGAGAGACTTCTGCTGGCATTCAAAGAAAGACTGTACCAAGTCATTGAAAATTGTGAAGTCATATTGAACACCAGTGACTTGGCAGCTTTCATTTGCAAGGATGTAACTTTGTTCTACCTTCTTATGGAATGCAGAAATTTTTTACAGTAAAAATATATTGAATTGGCTATCGTTTGAGTCATATATCATTGAAATCGGATGTATACTCCTGAATAATAAGCTTTTACTTTTGGGGAGACAATTGTGGACCACCCTGTACAATATAGTGGAGAAAAATTAAAGAAGGAAATATCCATCAATTCCCTCTTTCAATTCAAAATTCATCATGCCCCAGTACCCGAATGCCCATTTGCAACCCTTTTCAAATTATAATTACTAAAGCCATTCATAGTGAAAATAACTCCCACCCTGCTATAAAGTCCGCCTCCAACACCATATAATTCAACGTTACGAGAAATCCAATTTGCCTTTTCCAACCTAACACATGAATCTTCGGTTTTAAAATGTGAAAAGGACAGTGCGCGCATTTGAATGGTTGCGGTTCCATAAAGTTTAAAACGTACGCTTACATGAAAACACTGTCTCGTCTGGGGCTGTCGAATGTTGTTCTTTTTTTAAAAATTAAATTAATTTCGTCGCCCAAAAATATTTCTTAACCCTCATCCGGGCAAGCTTTCTTACAACCTATTCCGGGCAAGGTGAATCTGTCAGACTCATGTAAAATAAGGCCGTTTGCTGCGGTTACGGTAAGTATTCTTATAAATAACAGTACTGTAACTAAAATAATACAGACAATTTATTCAATGGTCCTGATAGTTTAAAAAAATAATGACAGTAATAGACCGAAATATGTCGTAGTGAGTCCAGCGGACTCACCTTGCCCGGATTAGGGTTAACCATCAGTACAAGGCATGCTTTCTTGGCACTATGCATGGATGCGTTCATCCTTGACGGTTTTGTTTGGGCAATTGCATCGCCAGAGTCTAAAAAGAAGGATCGACACCAAAATTAGCAGGTCGCATACTTCCAGGAAGAGGGGAACAATCCGGTAGAATAACGAAGAGGCAGAGGGTCTTGCTGGTCGGCGACACGTCCGTCAGCCTATTTTTTCTCTTGATATCCTACTACCCCCCCTCTCGACCACCGGAATTTTTTCTTGCCACGAAGACCAGCAGCCCACTGTCTCTTTCAGTCTTTCCATTCTGAGACACGTGTACTGAAGAAAAAATAAAATAAAACTCCGTCCCTCACAATTCACACAGGTTCTCCTTTGGCACATCCAAGGATGACTTCCGTGAGCAATGAGAATTCCTAGAAATACAGGAGATTTGAGGGGGACACTTCTGGATAAGGAATGGAAAAAATGTCTGCGATCTCGTGGCTTTCGCACGAAAACAGGAAACCATCCATGTTCCCGTTCTACCCTTTAACCTCTTACACGATTCTTCTTTTCGTATGGTTGGGGGGCAACAATTTATAAATTTAGGTTGAGGTTATATGACCATATCTATCAATCGCGAGCTGACACACACACGTGTTCAACCACCCTCACCAGTGCAAACATCGCCACCTTTCAATAACAGCGCACTTCTCTCGGCAGTTAAACAGTACTAGGTGGTCCATAGTAAGCCTTTTCTTTTTAAATGCTGTATATTCGCATCTAGTGGAGGAAACCATGCAATGTATACATTATTGGAAAGCCCCGGATGAGATCTTTCGAATGAGCTTTTTTTTTAAATAGAAAATCTCATATCTGGACGAAATTACGTGGAGATGTCTGAAGTCCGACCCCTTTTCTATGCCATCAAAACAAGTTTTTTGTTTTTTGTCCAGCTGGCCCCCCGGAACGCTGAAGCAATGAGCGCAAGGAAATAAAGTTATGTGATTCGTGGTAATAAGACACCAAAAACACGAATGTTTATCCAGCTTTGTCGCCAGACCTGAACCTCTGCGAAAACATCTTCGATCAACTTCTTCACAGAGACAGAGAAAATGCTGGTTTCCACTAAGGTCACAATAAGCCAAATAAGTCAAACAACGAATAAAAGGCGATTAAAGGGTTCGATTTTGAATTTTTGTTTGGTTCCAATCAGCTTTTGGTTCCTTGAAAGCTCGATTGGGAGGAGGTGTGAGCTAGAACGAGAATCGACCGAGCACTAAATTCATGTATTTGAAAATCTGCTTTGAAGACTTTTTTAAAACGGGTTCGAATTTGAGGAAAATGTAACTCTGCCCAGATGAGAGATTTTTCAGGAAAAAAAAAAGGCTCATTAGAAAGACCCCGGTTCAGGGCTTTCTGAAAATGTACATTTTCCTAATTGCATAGTTTTCTCCACTGGGCGCAGAAATATAACTATATAGAAAAAAAAGTTAACTATGGACTACCATGTACAGTAAGTACTACTGGCAAAGGATTTACTATGGGGGTGGAGAGAAAGAAACTAAAAACTCCAGATCAATGTTTTTGAAATATGGGCGGCTGCCAAGTGAAATAAACAGGGCAGGTCGAGTTTTCAAACTGATCGGCAACGGAAATGTTAAAGTGGCAACTTAATAAGTCCTCCAGTAATAAAAACAGCATCGACACGATGATAGATGATCAGAAAGCACTGGTATCGGAACCCCTATTTCGCGAGAGGTGCCCACGTCATCTACCCTTTTCTCTATAAGCCACGAATTCCAAAAATTACTTTCTGTACTTGTTCTATCATCATTGCTTCCTGTCATTGACAGTCATCGCACTTCCAGCTTGGAACGTTCGTTCGATGTCGGCATAACTCTTGACTTTGCTATTCCAAATCGGTATTGATTCTATAATTGTGATTCCGTCCAAGTCGGTGCTATTCCTGTCGTCATTTTGCGTCATAACATCTACTCGCTGCAGCATGAAACGTATGCATCGATCGTTTCAATTTCCCCCCTCCCTCCCACGCAATTCCAAGGAACGGAAAAAAACCCTCCTATCTCCCCACTTCTTGGAGTGGTTGAGAGAGAGGGGGGGGGGGGATCTCATAAATGCATTACCTGAGCCGTAAGCATTAAGCCCATCCTCCTTTCACTAATGACTACCCTACTCATTCAGCATCCGTTTTCGTATTCCCCCCTCCTTCGATCACATCCCACTTGGCAATGTTGCCATGAAAAAATTTCAGTCTCCCATGAGGACTACAGCATTTTGCTGTCATTGGAAAACGCAAACAAAGTTTTTTTTGCGTAAATGAAACAAAAACAAATCGAGCTTTCTTCGGTTTCAGTTGAAAAAAAGTTTGCAATGAGCATCCTGAAGTTATGACAAGCGAGAGTCGAATGTAATAGATTTATGCATGGACAGACCTGTTTGGCCCATGGGGAGATATACAGGAACATCCTTGTCATCAGGTGTAGCACTGGGATCATCGACGAAGTCATCACGCAGCAATTCCCTAAGCATCATATCCTCTTCGGCCTTGTCCAAGTCCTTCACATCCTATTATTTTTAAAATTTTAGGCTTTCTGCAGACGTCATTAGTCCTAATGATCCCTTTAAAATCCTGATATGTACCTGCCAAGATCAACATACCGAAAGATTCAGCTTCGATTTCATCAGGGGAACAGGTGAATCCTTCTCCACTTTGATGTTGACTCTGCGGGCAACCGATTCACCAGACGCAGCTATCCCTTCTCCAAACACGGAACCTGTTGTCTGCATATGGTCAACAAAAAAGTTATTTATAAAGCATGAGCTGAATTGATCAAATTTTCCAACTCCAACACATGGTCAGCGACAGTAAAGGTAGAGAAAATGTGAATTTGAAAAGGATATCTAAATTTTGTCGCAATTCAATTTCCTGGAAAAACCTACATATTAGAATATTGAATACATGAGTACATGAGTAGGGTTGTGAGTGGTGGTAACATTACCAGTAAATGGTAAATTACCGGTGAACCTCTTTTTTATGGTTTTCAGCATCGTTTTAGAAGTATTGCATTGAAAAATGCGCAATCGTGGTTTATTTTTTTAACTTTTACTCAGCAAACTTTGTTGTGGACTTCTGTCTAACGTTTTGGTATTAACTAGTTGTAGGATGGCAAACACAAGGGCTCCTGACAAAACATATTTACACGAGTTAAATCTAATAACTAATGGAAAAAGGTACCTCCGCCAAATGAAATAAACCTGGTATATAATTGGCGAATGGATAGGAGAAAAATATTCCTCTCGATTCAAAGCCAGCAATGGCAAATAAGTATATGATAGAAACAAGTTGAGCTAAACCAAATCAAGGTGGAGATAGACCTGAAATGGGAGACAACGAATATATGAAAATTCAAGATGGCACAAGAGCAGGGAAAAGAACAAACCTGGATCAATTCAGGCTTGCCTCGTCCCTTACCCCGGGCCCCATCACCTCGTCCCCTAGTTCCACCTCTCCTGCCTCGCCCACCATCTCTATCGCCTGGTCGTTCACGAGGGGTTCGACTTGGTTCCCTATCATGCACAGATGCACCAGGAGAATAAAATCGTTACAAGTGTTATTTTTTAAAAGGAACTAGTTACTGTTACTAGTTTCTTTCCTGAAACGTTGAACGCCATGTGGTTGTCAATGGCTTGTCATATGGGGCCATAGGAAAGAATTAGCAAAACTACTTTACTTAGGTCGTTAGCGTGTTAAAAAATATATAAATAAATCTTTACAGTTACAGTTCCTTTTTCATCACTTTGACATGCTCAGTATCACCACCATATGCTCATCCAAACCGAAAAAAAATGAATGGAACATACAAGAATGAAGATTTAATTGTCCTCATTTTTCACTGCCAATGATGAACACTACAAACCTAACAAAACAGGAACAAAATACCGTTACTTGTTTCATATCACAAGATTGAACAATTACTGTTACCTGTTTTTATAATTTGGAACATGTAACAGTAATGTTTTACTTCCCAACCCTGATCACAAGCTTCTCAAACTAAAGCCAGAGCTATAGCCCCTTTTCTGGTGAACCACAAGAAATCAGCAACTTATTTTATTTTTTACAGGAACAAAGTAAAATCCAAAAGAGGAAAACAATACACCTGAGATGTAAAAATAGAAAATTTATACACTGACTGTCTTATGAGGCACCAGTGTTTCATAAGTAATGCATTACCTGGCACAAAAAATATGCATTCTTACAACACACTGGTGCCTCTTGTGCACACATCATAACAATCACTAACGTGTTGCAATGATTATGATCAGTTGAGATGAGAAAATGTGAGTTCAGAAATGGCCAATAGTGAGAGCCCTCAATGAAACACTCACTCAGCAGGTCGAGAACGGTCCCTCCTTGATGGGAGATTAGGAGTGAAAACTCGCTTTGGCTTGGTTCCTGGGCTCACACTGAACACCTTTGGGGTGAGTGTGAGATCCCGAGGTGGGCGGAAGCTTGGCAGGCGATTAGATGAAGTTAAGGGGACACCTCGGCGACTCAAAGCTCCCCTAATAACACCACCATTTAAAGTTCTGGTACCCTGCCCTTCCCCTTCTTCCTTCTTGCAACCTGGCTCCATCCAAGTCTCTCCAGCTTAGCCCATTCTCAATCCTTTTGAAGTCATCCTGTCATTAAATGAACCCATAGAAGAATCTTGCAACAAAAAAAACTCAGTTTCTTTGCAAACTTGGGCCTGCCATACAAATGAAACTGAGGCTGGAAAATGTACTAGTGATAGTCAGAAATGTGGAAACTTTATAACATGCCTAAGTATCAGTAGCAGGACAAGCCCAAAGATAAAAAAAAAAAGAAGTTAAAATAAATGCAATAATACATCATTATGCTCTCTAATCACCACATTTCCTACACTACACCTCCATGTCGAAATGTTAAGCAATGTACATGGGGAATGAAGCAAAGAACTTAATGCTTTCAAAACTTTCAGAATCAGATGTTTCTCATGAAGCATTAGAACTCACAGGGTCCATTACATTACTTTTCCCAAAATTAAAAAAGGTTGGTAGATTGTTTTTCAGGTGCCTCTATATCAACTCAGTCTCACCAGGTAAAAAAATGAATTGCAATTTGGCTTTCAAGTTCTGATTCCCCTTGAGCCTATGAGCCAATTAATATGAGCTAATTATTTAATTAGGGAGTGGATTTTTATGCAAATTAATATTTTTTCTGCAGCTTCAAAGGAGCCTGTCTTATTAGCAGAGAAAGTGATTGATGCTACTTAAAAAATGCATATTTTGGCATGTGTTTTTTGAAATATTTATATTAATACATACATGTGCATATTTCTGCACATTTCTCCAATACTCAATGAGAAAAAATTTTTTTTCCAGGAAGAGGATGTTTAATTTAATGTGCAACAATAAAAAATCCACAGCAGTCATATGCTGTGACAAGAATAGACCAACCATGCCCAACAGGCACCTGATTTAATCTTTTCCTTCATGCCACTCTGAGGAGGAAGGGGAAGCTTGGCAATATGAAATGTACTTTGTAGTTCCTTCTTTTCCAAAGAACTCATTCTATGTTCTATATACCATGTTTTCTAAATTTTCTTTTGCTTCCACTTTAATGCACACAAATGCACACTGATGTGTATGCTTTAGGATTTATTAGCACATAAAAGCCTGCTCCCAGTAATAACTCTGAAATAATTATAAAGATTTTCAGTTCTAGTTATAATATCAAAACTTCGTGTCACAGGATGTCATGTAGTCATGGAATTTAAAATCCACAAATGACCACCTGACTGTACATAAGCACCCATTCATTAAGACTAAGATCATATTTTCAGGAAAGAATACTGGTTAAAGATGATTTTACACACTTACTTTGAAGCAAGAATGAAGTAGAACTACATTTTAATCACAAAATACAACAATTAATGACAAAGATATTCGTGATTTGGACTTCCCTTCTTTAAAAATGTTCAGAGAAGGGATAAAAACAGAAACATATAGATGCAATTCTGGAAATGAACTGGCAAAAGATTCTTATCACAAGAAAAAGCTCCAGGAGGGATAATTTTTTTATGCATTAACTAAAAAATCAAATTGATTTAAGCAAAAACAAAAATTGTTTCCAGAAATAAAAGGAGAGGATTGCCTCTCTGGTACACCTCAACTGTTTCATCATATGCATGCTTTTGCTCGGGAAATTCAACAGTGAATTCCACTAGAACCACATATGAAAATATAAAAAATATTCCATACTCCTTAAGTGCCTTTGGCATAGCACAAGGGTGATATCAAAACACCCCAAGGAGCTCTATGTGACTGCTTTCAGACACTTGGTGCTTTAAAACACCAGAATCTAAGATTCTCATTCTAAATACAATTCTAATTAATTTCCAAACAATAGAATTCTCACTTACACTAACTAACCAGACCACAACTAGTTGCAGGATCACTTGCTCTACATATTGATGTCATGGAATAGGTAAAAGAGCAAATACATACATAACTCGTATACATATATTTTGAAACTGTTTATCTCAATTTAATGGGTTGGCAGCTCAAGCAGGCCCAGAAGCATCTTTCAGTGCCTGTGATACTGGGTATTGGACTCAAGTTTGGCAGGTGGTATACTAACAACGTAGTCCAACAACCTTGCAAAAGGCCTACCAGCTGGTCTTCAGCCAATTGCTTTAGACTGAAAGACTCTCTTTGGGAGTCTATTAGGAAAATGCCATGTCCAAACCAACAAACTGGGGATCTCTATATCCTAAGGTGTAGCTGCTTCTCACTGGAGGTTCTCACAGATGGCAGCACTCTTCATCCTATAACTCAGCATGACACTGACCACCTGCCCCAAGAACTTAATCAAGGCAGCTTGTATCTGAAACCTGATTCTTTCATCCATCACCCACAGCACTGTATTTTAGTTAGAGCACATAATTCTTAACTAATCTAGTTTAGATACACACACACACTATGCACATGACTATTCTGTGTCTGACTTTGTCAAAATCCACTGTGCTATTACTTATTTTTTTGGCTGGAGTCACTTAAACATTACAGTGTAGGATAAAGAAAGAACTACAAAAAATGTAGATCAGTTGACCTTCAATCACACATTCTATCAATACATGAACTGATGCATCTCAATTTCTCAATGGAGATTTTTAGATATACAAAACCATGAAACACGTAGAACAAAATGTTGCACTATGCCACTACAGGTATCTTCTTCAGTCAGCTCTGACTGACCGGAAGTGACCCAGCTTCCTTATACGTTCAAAATCCTTCTCTGCATCATAGTTCCTGAAAAGAAGATAAAGAAGCATCTGGAAATCCCAAGCTTTGTCTAAAGCACAGAAATGAGACAGTACATCAGTAACCCTATCTTTGTGAATCATACCAATGCTATTATATGACACAACATTAAGCATACACATAGAATACACTCAGTGTATTCACCTCTTCATACTCAATTGACAAAAATTTGAAAAGCAGACTGTTTCCACATTCCCCAATCTGAATTCCTTTAATCTGCATGTTTTAAAGCACATCCTTCCTGACTCAAATTCTACTGGAGATGCTGAGTTTTAGGTAAAACCTACTTCTTTGGAACAATGAATCTAAATATGGTTAGGGTAGACCCTTGCATGTTGGATTATAATGCTTTAAAAGTTGAGTGGTGGAGCTCTTACTCATAGAAATCATCATATTTCCTCTTCCTGTCATCGGCAACCAACACCTTCCAGGCTGCAAGTGATGCAAATGCAAGCACACCTCCAATCATGATGTGACGCTTGATGTAGGATTGCAGCAAGCCTCGCAATTGGGGCTTTCCAACCTTCTGTACAGCAGTGTCTGCCATTCTACTCTCAGAATATATCAAGGCTTAATGATCTACTGGTGTAAACCAGTATTCTTGAATATGCCTGCAAGTGAAAAATAGTATCAGCTAAACTTATCACCAAATCAGGCTACTATAATGAAACTAGGAAATAGCTAGGATTAATTTATAAAGATATGGATTTGCCTAAATTTCTATGTAAACTCAAAATTAACACTTGTGCAAATATAAGACAAGGCAAAATGAAAGATCTACTACTATGACTAAACAATGCAAATTTCACTTTTAAAAAGTTCTTAAATTCTTATTTATGTTTTAAGGCAGGTCTGCTTGTGTTCTTCAAACAATTCTTCATGCCAATGAAGAACTTGTTGCTCCACAGATAAATTTGTTCCCTCATAAGAGCATTCCAGTGCTTTTGTGATATTTAAAAAAATTGCTCTGTGCATATTAAATTAAATAGAGACTCCAACCTATGGTCACCAGAGGATGACAAATCAAAAGAAAACAAGTACAAGGTGGACCAAAAAAAACCCTCAGACTTTCACAGCTAATATCTCAGGACTGGTAAGAGGTAAAGGAATGAAGCAGGACTCATTGGAATTGACATTAAAATGAAGCAACTTTTATTTCAATTTTCATTTTTTTAATTTCCATATAATCACTGTTTTAAAAGTATGCAAAAAATTACACTGCCATCCACAATTAGGAAACGCATTCATTGGTTCTTTCAGAGAGTATTGCTTCTCCTCATGCAAGGCCTTAATCAGAGCTTTGCCTGATTCGCTCAATATGATTGTGAAGCTTCAAAGTTCCAGAGCAAACGGAAGCAACTTCAAAACTGTGCATCAAGAGGAGTGATACACTATACAACACTCAGCATGCAACAGACAAGCTGCCAAGCCACACTGCCTGCCCAATGCTGAGAACGCCTGACAGTAAGTGGAAGCACAGAAAGCGCACTGCCCAAGGTCATGCCATCATTGCAGCTGTGCAAGGGGTTAAAAAAGCAACCATTCAAAGCTTTCCTTCTTTTGTTGACAAATGAGGTACCATTTTAAGGTTAAAGAAATGCCTTTTCTTATGAGAGCCCCAGTGTTCCAAAATGCTGCACCATTCCTGAAATTCGAGCTGAGAAAAATCTGTGTTTTATTTTGGCCCACCCTGTACTTGACACTTGAGAATGACAGGGTACACTGTTTCTGATTTCATTCTGATAGCTGAGATGTCCACAAATATGGAAATGATATCCTAGCAAAAGTTGTGCAGAATAGAGGTAGGAAAATGAATTTTTTTTTTTGTCCACAAGCATAGACACAATAATTCAAGTGAACAAAGCTTAATTTATTTAAGCCTAGCAACAATATGACACTCTATGACTGGGGCATGCAACCCTTATTGGCAGTGGGCCACATGGAAATATCTGACTCTTCATGTGGGCCATAGAATGCAAAAGAAATGGCTAATTTATTTGGCCCTCAGGACATACGAGGGCATAACGTTGTGCTGATTGGCCAATGATTCTTATCCCTTATGAAATTCCAAAGCCCAAAATTAGCCTTTGACATTGAGAACCTTCATTCCTCCAGACATTTGTAGCATTCTGTGTGAGGAATAATTAGGGGAAAGAAGTGAAGGGATTCAGTCTATCTTTAGTTTAGTTACAAAGGGATGATGAAAGTTGTGATGGGCCTTGGGCCACTAAGAAACTTATTTAATCTGCTATCTCATTATGCATTACCATGCCGCAAGAAGCAAGTCCACAATTTCGTATTCCAAAGGAGTTCAGGGTATCTGATGATGACTGTGAGAATTACATTCAAATTCTGAGGCCTACAAATAAACGAACTAATGACACTTGAGGCGGTCCGGAGACAGGCTACAAGAATGGTGGTAAGAGGACTTCCACATGTTGGGACAATACTTGCTCAAGGAATGGCTTATGAAAGGGAACCTCATCTAGGCATTTAAGATCACTTTCTCTTGGGTCGGCTCTCTTAAAGTTGGTGCGAAAAGGAGAAAAAAATCGCAGTTGGGTGATGTACGCAACGTGACCTTCTCACGTTAGGTGATGTCGAAGAGGATGAGATGGTGAGTATGCAGTGTTGACTATGGATGTCCGAGTCAACTGATAAGGTGCTAAACTCAACTAAAACAATAATAGAAAGCCTGTAGGCCTGAAACCATCATGCACTATTAAAGGCTCACACCAGCAGGGAGAAACGACTGCACACAGCGCCGCCATGTTTTTCAATGGTGCAATCCAGCGAATGCAGAACCATGCAGAAAGGACCAATCGTATGCCAGCAGACTTGTGGCGACCCCCACACGCGCCGAATAGTGCCACATAACGTCAAATCGCAAAATGCCAAAGGTACGATGGAACCAAAACTGGAGCCCAGTTGCGCAGAAAGGCGAAGTATAGAGAGTAGAGCATAATCTTGTAGGTTTGACCTACAAGGTTTGACCTGTTGATACGAGGAATTAAAAACAGGACATCACGTCTCGTTCAAGTGTGAAGCGTAGATCGAAAAGAAGCAATTAAAAAATAGTGCGTAGTAACGCAGCATCAAGACTTTTCAGCATTTCATGCAGCAACAGACTATACCCGCTTTAGACTATTTTAAATTCATATTTGGAGTATTTTCGCTTGTTTTCCACAACAGGAAGGGCACGCACTTGGAAGTCGTTGTTGTAGACAGATTTTTGACAGCTGAGAAGCTGGTGGTCCTTCACGTCCAGGACTTGGAATAATCATTGTCAGTATCCTGGAAATGTATTTCGGTGCTTCTCAAACCCTACAGAAATTTACATTTCAACAACAAGGTAGTTGAGCGATTTTCACGAAATTAGGAAAAACGAACTCCTAACTGGGCTAAAAGAAAGCGATTAATTTTTCAAGGGTTTGGGATGATTCTTCACTGAGATAACTCGACAAATATAATGAAAAGGCAAGTAGGGATCTTACCATTTTCCAAAACTTCCATATGGAGTTTGTTGATGAAATTCGGAATAGGAACTCTAATTGTATCTAAATAGATCGAGGAAAGTTTCAAGTCAAAGGATGTTAGGATACGGAGAAAACTTGCTGAACGCCTGAGGAATGGAGGAAGAGGGTGGCTTGATTGGAAAAGCGTGTGAGGTATTTCAGCTCAAGTTGTCAGGCATCAGGAAGTTTGGTTGCACATCCGACGGGCCGGATTGCTTGAGGAAATTCATTCATGGTGCCCTCCCTGACTTACAATAGTAAATTAACTCTGCATTCCAACAGGGCCGGATTAAGGGGGGGGGTCAAAGGGGGCTGTTGCCCCGGACCCCACTTTTCCGGATGGGGCCCCCCCGAAGGAAATTAAAAACGTTAAGTAATTGCGTAAAGTGCGAGGAGAGGGGGGGAGGGGGCCGGACACTAGGAGGAAGAGGAAAATTTTAACAGGAACGTCTGGTCACCCTAACGCAGTGGTTCTCAACCTTAAATATGTCCTGTTGAGCCCCTTTCCATATTCAAGGGACCCAAAAATGTTGAAACGTCCAGAAATAATGCAGCCGTGAGACTCGAAAACTAAAATTAATTGAATTAAATACGGAAAAGACACTAACAATATTTTGCTTTGAGCACAGGTGATTCATTATTATTCATTTCTGTTCCTTTACCACTTCGAGCTTCCCCTGAAAGAAATCGACCAGGAAGCTGTTTGCCTTTTCTTGGAATGGCTTATCAGCAAGCCTTCTCCGTCTGATTATCTGGGGTAATAGATTAGATTGTTCCTGGAGAGTGAAGCGCATAATATTGCCCTGCATTTTGCCTTCGTGCTAATATTTAATATTTGCTGTCTTTAAAATCTCTCCATCTACTTTAAATTTATTTCATTCTCTTGCGACCCACCTGAAAGACCATCGCGACCCACCTGTTGAGATTCCACTGCCCTAATCATGACCGGATTAAGAAGCAGCGAGGCCCGCGGCAAGTGAATTCCTGGGGCCCCCCCCCCCCCCCCCCCTACGTTACGCAAATATGATACTTTTTTTAACTTAACGTTTTTGATTTCCTTCGGGGGCCCCTGGAAGAGTGGGGCCCGGGACAATTGCCCCCTTTTCCCCCCCCCTCCCCCCCCCCCCCCCCCNAGCGAGGCCCGCGGCAAGTGAATTCCTGGGGCCCCCCCCCCCCCCTTAATCCGGCCATGGCCGTAATGTATGGACATTTCTTAGATCCAACCCAATGAAATAACCTTGACCACTTTTGAGGTAATATGAATTGAAAATTAAATCGTTGTATGTTTGAGATCAAGGCCACGAGACACCTCGTGATAGCTTGCAAATGCAACATGCTCAGAAGTCACATGGAGCTTCACATTATTTTCTTTCACTCCATGACCGCATCTAGTCCTGGTCCAATGTACTCAGGGCGCAAAGCCAATAGGCCCATGTGGACCTCGTCTACATTGTGTTACATGGTGGTTTCACAACTGAGTTCGATGTAACTTATCTTCAACCTCACGCCGCTAAAGGAAGATTACTTTTTTTTCAGCTAAGGCTAGCGTAGGCTCGTGTGCCGTCACTGATCGAGGACTTGTACTATAGGGTCGTCGTTGAGCCGTTACATACACTTCTCCAAGCGAGGAGTTTGTGAATGCAGTGAGAGACCCATTGTGCCTCAAGTGCTTTCTTGCTTGAAATCTGACAATAAATAAAATAGATTCGCACATCTATGGTTCAAATCAGAATGCTAGGTGTAGACCCTATACTTGTTCATGTCAGAGGATAAGATAATAAAGACGCCTGGTAATGGCTTTAGGCCTATCCTTGGCAGATACAGCTTTTTGAAGAAGTGATGCAAAGTTAATGCCTCCAGAGGATGAGTCCTCTTGGTGGACAAGATTGAGGAGTTGATTGCATTGGTAGATTTCTTGTAGCTGACCACAGTATTCCATTATATGTGATGCATGTATGACCTAATGTGTTTTGTGTGAAAATATTTTGATGTAAAAGTCAAGCTTATGCATTAATTTTCTCTTTCATAAAGCATTGTGAAGAAAATACAATAGCTTACCTTAACTCTGACCAATACTGGAGTATGCCTTGAAGTAAGGGATGCAAACGAAATAGGACAAAGTGATAGAGATACTTTAGGAGTGAGAAACCATGTTTGCTTGTTATGGTTATATTTGGACCACAGATTTGGGCAGACATAGGTGGGATAAAGGGATGTTTGGCTAGTTGACTCAGCATAGGATAATCAATGGTCAACCTCCTGTAAATCTTAGGAAATTGTTAGTTTATTCATCTAATAGAACCCATATAATCTGACAGTGGCTTCCACTGAATCATATTCCCACGAAGACAGTATTGCTTGAATGTTGGTTCCTCCCTTGTATAGTAATGAACTTTGAAACCTATTGTCAGATTTAAGGTCTAGTAGCACTCTAGAAACCTTTGAAAAGAATCTTCTACCACATTGTAAAAAAGACTTTCTTGCAAGAGGTCATTTTGCTGCAAGGGTGCATGAGTTGTGAGGAAATATTTTGATGCCTTTGGTGTGAGTGCACATTTCAAAGTGTGAAATTATTAAGACACATGAAAGTAGATACACTGTTTTCAGATTGAATTTGTATCCCCCAATTTAAGCACTACCATTGATTACAGGGTCCTTCTCAAGTGTGGTTTTTTGCATGATCTGATGGAGTGGATCTGCCAGAAGGAATGCTTTTTCTCTGTTCTCCACTACCCAGGTGGGGTACAAATTCAATCCAAAAGCAGTGTAGGACTCTTGACCACCGGACTCGTACCCAAGGCAACCATGCACCAGTTTGGACAATGGATACTGAAGTCCTTACCTTTCAAAGGTGGATATAGACTTAATTCTATAGTATTTCACTCTTTTTTCCCCCTCAAAGCACATCATCTTGTCCTTTGGGGCCAAAGCACCACCTCATCCCTGAGTTTAATGAATTTCATCTTCCTTTGAACTAGATAGTGCAGAAAAAGGAAAATGGCAAAGCTTATAATACATCTTGTGCGAGGAGCTGCAGAACAGGACAAGGTGGAAATTTCAGAGACAAATAAGGTATTGGTAGCTGAAGACCTGTGTCTTTCTGTGGCCCAGGCTCTTGAGTTTCCACCAGTGACTGCAAATCTTTTTGGACTCTATGACCGGAAGATGAAACTGTGGAAATCCCCATCAGACATAGTAGAGGTCACGAAACATACTGTGACCGACTTGTACTTCTTAGTTCGGTTCCATGTGGTGGATTTGTCACGAATCATTAGCTTGTGCAAGGGTGAAAAGATGCTGAATTATTACTTTCATCAAGCACGTCGGGACTTCCTGGATGGATTCATAGAGGAAGTGTCTAGGCGAGTGGATGAATTCCTAGGCTTGAGTGTCACAGATATGTACAGAGTGCATTTGGAGAGAGGAACGTCTCCTGATGCTATCTGCAGGGACTACAGGGCCTATATCCCATCTGACATCAACAGGAAGCATCCTTTCTTCTTGAATAACAAACTGAGACATAAACTGCAGGAATTAATCAACAACTGTCAGAGCTGGCAGACAGGCACTGTGAAAGAGATTTACTTGAAGGAGTTGATGCATCTAAGCCCTGGGTATTTCACTGAAACATATGATGCATTCATGGAGATAGACGGAGAAGAAGTGAGTGTGAAGCTCAAGATCTGCCATGTCGACCAAAGCCAGCCTGGAGTCAAATATCTTCAGTCAAAGAAGTCTGTAAGGATTCTGTTGCCATTTTTTTCAATTGTGATTTTCATATGTTCATCATTTTGTACTTGACCTCAACCTTAAAGCAAGGAATTAAAAAGTAAACTTTGTTCAAGGGAGACTTATTATGCCCAGATTAGCCTATTTCAGATTCCTTTGATAGGGCCAGAAACTTTAAATCTATTGAGTTGTATGGCCTGAAGACAGAGCTTCAGAAGTGCTTGCCAGACAAAATTGCAATCACAGTTACTGATGTGGATCAGGTGACCACCTTTCCTTGATCCTGGATTTATATTCTGCCAAATTTCTGTGGTAGCATTCCTGAAACTCCAGGACAGGCAGTGAACCTAATTTGCATTCAAGTGCTCCTCAATTGCAACTCGCTGTATCATCATGTGATGCTGTTTGAAGCCTGTTCAAAATTTTTAATAGTCAGATGCCATTCCAAAGGAAAATACATTCTATGCTCACTTATTCCTTGAGAGCATGCTGAATTAGTTTTCCTTTTTTCAGCAATGGAGACATATTTGTGAGATAGAAGAGCTTTGCTATGTATCTGTGAAAGCAGACTTCACCTTGGAACTCTCCCGTACTATTGGAACACCCAGTTATCTTCGCTTCAATTCTGACAATGAGATGCGATCTTTCATCAGTTGCATTGATGGCTACTACAGGCTTTCCCGGAAGTTTATATTCAATCTTTGTCGTGAGATGCCCACCCCTGCTCTCATGAGGCTGAAGAAACTCAAGTCTCATGGACCTGTTGGGTAAGATTCCCTTGTTATAAAACCAACGTATTGCTTTGAAAATGTCACCAGACCCTGCTTAAAATCCCAACTGGAAACAGCTATAATTTCCAGCTGGACCCTGACTTTTAATTTTGACTCATTCCAGCCTTGTAATAGCTGGAAAGTAAAATCAGATTCACTTCCAGATTGTTCCCTAGTTGCAATGTCACTGATGGAGTAAGAATGCTTTTGTTGGGTGTTCTTGCCAGAGGTCCATCTATACAGGTACAGCTGAATTTCAGCTACAAATTAAGGTGTATTTCAGCTGGAGGGTCCTCTATACAATTCCAGCCATAAGTCAACCTGTATCTACTATTTTCCACCTTTTTGTCTGTTGAAAATGATCAGAATTTACAACTTTTGTCCATCTGGAAAATTCCAGTTGGGATTTTAAACTGGGGAGGCCGATTTGATTAGTGTTGGAATGAAGAGGGATGTTTTTCTTTTTGATTCCCAATATATTATATTATTTTGCCTGGATTATCTTACATTTTCAGATGCTACAGACATTGAATCTACTAGACAAACCTGTGTAGCTCATTTACTTCCAAGGATTCATTGTAACTTTCTTTTTCTCTTTCAGAAGTGCATTTGCATCCCGAAAGCTGAAGGAAAAGAAAGATTGGAAGATGGGCTCTTTCCTCATCAGACAATGTGAATTCAGTTATAATGTTTTCTGGCTGGATGTCAACATTCGTGATGGGTGAGCTAGCATGAAAAGAGCTAACATAACATAACCTTTCTCAGAGCTTCACATAGAGATGCATGCAAATATGTCTCTTATATACTGGTCTATTTACTGGCTTCTTTATACTGTTCAACTTGGTCATAATGACACCTTTGATTTAGCCTCAGATAAGGCTTTGTCCAGTCGTTCAGTCCATGAGTTATGAATAATTCTTTGTTGAAAACTTGATTCTTATATGAACATCTGTTCTAGCATAGTCAAATTTTTTCCCATTGGCAAAATTGGCCATCCCATTCATCATTATGTCCATTATATTATGTCCATTATAAATGGGAATTCCATTGGCCTAATGATCATGAAAAACTCCTAATTTTCCTTTCTGGATATGCAATCCTGGAAGCTCTCTTGTGCATGCAGTGAGCATGATGATGGATGGAGAGGAAATACCCAGTCGCCAAAAAATTTTTTCCTCATTTTCATTTGCTATTCATTTCTCTTGTTGACTCTGGGGTTGGGAAAAGCCAAGGAGGCAAGCCTTCATGAAGGAGCATAGACTGATTAAATAGAAAATGAGAAAAGTAACTTGTAACAGTAGATGGCTGCAAACAAGGACACCTGAGCTGATATATTTCCATAACATGGGAAATTGCTACCTAGGCTATAGTGAAACTTGGCTATAATGGTAGTTTTTTCCTGGTCCCATCAATACTGTTTTAATTGAGTTTGACTATTGAGAGAAGAAGCTAATGACTTTCATGGCATACTTGCATTTGTTAGGGGGAAGCCGAGTCACATTCGGATCCAGAGACGCTTTGTTGATGCCAATGGAGAAGAAGAGTTTTGCCTGCCTTCGATAAGATCCCGGAATGTCGAATCAGAGCAAGAGTGGTTCAGGAGTCTTAGTGAACTCTTGTCATGTGTAACTGCCAAGGGCTGGCTTCCTCTTAAGGACCTTGTCTATCCTTCTGATTATGGTCAGTATGGCAGTGCAGTAAACTTAAAATAACTGTATATTGATTCTATACAATTTTTAAACTAAAATTTGAATCTGCAGTTATAAAGGACAGGTTCATCCCATTTCTAAAAACAGCTATTGTTAGAATGTTCATTGCCTCCCCTTTATATAGAATGATGGTGTTTATCTTGTAGACTGAACCTAATCCTTTAAGATGCTATGAAAGCATGTGCTCGTGAATATGATACAGGTTAATAATATGTTTCAAGTTTGGCAGAGTCATTTTTCATGCATCACAATTATTCAAAAACTTTTCTGTCAAACACTCAGGGCCAATGCTTATTAAACACCTCACTCATTGGAACTTAAATTTATTTTAGAACTTTGTCTCCTTTACAGGCTGCTTGATTTTAATTGTTTCCTTTTCTTGATCCAGATAGGAGTGAAGTCCTCCTGCTGTGTGAAAGAAGCAAAGGTAAAATGAACAACACTGAAGAAATACCCAGTCATAAAATGCCTCTCATCATCAAGGATAACATGCTCTCCTTCTCTGGTATGTATGCTTATCTTCCAAGCCCTTTTTCCTAATGCAGTGGGCATTCAACTCTTTGCCAAAGTTGCCACCAGACATTGTTTTAGACATTCTGGCATGTCAAATAACAGTCAATGTGGTAATAAGAAACCGATTTTAATGAAGGCACTGTTTCAGCCATAAATGAGGAATTGCTTGATTTTTGCTGCAGAGGGTGAGAAGAGAGGACACTTCACCCTTGTACGACATGCCAAGTGGCAAAAGACAAAAAACCTAGTTGCAGAGGTGGCTGTGAAGTCTTTGAAGAAGGAATTTTCCCTGACATATTGGAAAGTGAGGAATGTGGTCTTGCTCAATTCTCAATTTGTTCATTGTACAAAACATTGCATGCAGTTGCTAAAATTCTTGCAAATCCCACCAGACCTTCCTGGATTCCTGCAATCGGAGCCTATTTTGGGAGAGTGACTGCTTGGTGGAATGCATGGGGATGTGTCTCACATCTCCACATCTCCTTGTCATGCCCTGGTTCTCATTGGGGCGCCTGGATCTCTATCTTCGCTCTCACCGCCAATCCATCTTGCCTGTTGACCTTATTGAAGCTGCTACTTACCTTGCCAGGGCACTCTGGTATCTGGTCAGTTATAAACTTTCTATTCTTTATCCATTTTTGCCATGCATGACTCTGCTTTTTGATAGTGTTTACAAGAGAACTTAACAATTTTTGTTTTAGAGTGATTGTGGATTGGTGCATGGGAAGATTCGCTGCCATAATGTACTTGTAGCAAGTCATGGCAACAATGAGTTCAAAGTGAAACTTGCTGATCCAGGGCCACTCATCTATCTTCAACATGAGTGAGAATTATAAATTTATTTTTGTCAGTGATCCTGGATGTGCTAACACTTTTTTCCTACAAAATCTCTCTGAATTGGCAGACTGCCATGGATTCCTTTGGAGCTACATGACTCTATGCATGAGGCCCGGAAAAGCCGACCAGCAGATGTTTGGGCCCTAGGGACTACTTTGTGGGAATTGTTCTCATATGGCCAGCAGCCATTTGCTGGGAGGTCCCTTGTGGAAATGCAGGAGCATTACAAAACTCATGTCTATCTAGATAAGCCAGAGTCATGTATGCTAGAAGAGTTCTGGGAAGTCTATGAAACCATGAAGGGATGCTGGCATCGGGAGCAGTCTGGACGAATTGAACCTCAAACTCTCATGAGGGATCTTCATCTTGTAAGTTCCTCTGCTCCACCTATGGACAATTTAAAAGCAACAGATGTTATAACTGGCATATGTGAACTGTTTTTGAGGTCCTTTTCAATGTCTTCAACTCTCGTCGGGGTCTGAGCCCACATTATGAGTCGGTTGATCCATATCAGAGCTCAGAGGTAGACCTCCTGACATTCAGCTGCAGTTCCTTGTCTTTGAACACGAGGTCAATGGCTCTGACAACTCTGGATGGTCCACTCCTTCCCTTACACATAGATAGTCCTGATTCCTTTTCACGAATATCTAATTCTTCCTCCTCATCCATTGATACATCTCAGGTGGGTTTACCTTAAACTTGATGATGCAGTGTAGCTTTTAAATAGTTCTGATGTTTGCCCTATTTTGCTCAGGTGATGTATTTTGAAGATCAAGGGGATGTGGAAGAGAAGTCAAAGGTAGATGAACATGACCTACTGGGTGACAGAGATATCAGTTGGAAACTGTCACCCCTTCAAGTTGAGCTAGGGAGGGAAAGACTTGGCCAGGTTTGATTCCAACTTTTGGTCAAATTAAATTAGTAGCCTTTTTTCTCCTTTTGAGCTATAGTAGAGTGTTTTGAGATTATATCATCTTGAAATTGTCATGGTGCTGTCATTCACCAAGTGGAGTCTGGAAAGATTAGAAGTCCTTCCATGTGGTTGTTTTCTCAGGGCTTTTATGGTGAAGTTTGGAAAGGAACATTGGTGCAAGACGATGGGCTCACCCGGATCCCAGTTGCTATTAAGAAACTGAAGCATCAGGTGGGACTAACTGAAATGCAACGAGAAATAAAAATTACTGACATGCAACGAGAAATAAAAATTATGATGGTGAGCTGGTTTTTTTTACAATGGTTCATGTGTGTTATTGGGGTTTTGTCCATGGATTTCATAGTGTGTTCTTTGTTTCTCAATTGACATGGAGTAGAGTCTCCACCATCCAAATGTGGTAGAGATCAAGGGAATGGTAGAGGAGCCCCTTCAACTTGTGATGGAATTCATTCCAATGGGATCTCTCTCCCGGTATCTTCACTGCCACAAGCATAGGCTAACACCCACACTTATTCTCCGGTTTGCACTGAACATTGCTCAGGTGAGTCTCATTCACCTTGCCACTTTGAATATAGATTTTGATTACTAGTTGTGCATTCATCAGGAGGAATTTGATATTACTAGAATGTAGTATGGAAAGTTCCAATAAGGCATGAAGTCACTGGTGGCACTATTGTGATATGTGCTGATGCTGGTGATTACTGGGATACTTGTTAATATGTACATAATGCTGAACTATCACAGCCCACTTGGTGGAACTCTAAAGAAAACTTGTAACATTCCACAAACATTCATGCCACACATCTTGAACATTTCTCAACATGTCTGATGACATCACACATGCAAAACATCTAATTGTAAGTCTTAACTGCATATTTTCCTGTTGCGTTGTTTTAAGTCCATTGTTTATGTTATGTTTGTGCACTTGCAGATTTACAGCTTAAGGGTTCATTTCATTTGATGCCATCATTCTAGCCATGCTTCAAAGTCTTCAGGACAAGTGGCATGAATAGATTATTCATAGGTGAATAAAGGCATTTATCCATGTGTGGGGTGAGGAAAAAGTTCAAAGCCTGAGGCACTTCCAGTTGTAATATGCCCTTTTTACTCATCTCATGAGAAGACAGATGTCTTTGATGGTGACTGGCTAATTTTTGTCAATGAAATATAGCTTCTCAGGTTTTATTTTCAATTTGCTACCAAAAGGTCTGCTGCAGGGCTATTAAAATTGATGTGATGAATTTCCTGACCTCTAAGGAGTTGATTTCCCAGCAGATCATTCAGCAGCTAAGAGGATAGAGTCCTAGATCTCCAGAGAGATTGACTAATTAGAAGCTAGAAAATTCATCACAGGACTCATCTCACTTTTTATACCCCTTTAACAGATTCTTTTGTAGCACGTTAAAAAAAATTTATAGGAGCTCTCTTTAATCAACAAATAAGTTGAAGTTTTGTTAATCACCATCGAATACATATGTTTTCTCATGATAGGGATAAAAGAAGTGTATTGCAATAGGAAGTGCCTCAGGCTTAGAACTTTTTCATCACCCCATGTATGCCCATTGACTTCTTTGGTATCCTGTATATATGGCTCCAAAATAGGGCTTGTTGGTGGTAAATTATGCATGCAGGTGATGACTTTTCAAAATTTTCCATTTGGGAAACTTCAAGAAATAGGTTCTGACTAGGACTGGGTTGTCATGTCTTGAAACATGAGAAGAAAGTTTCTACCCCTAGGGAATGGAATATTTGGGAACAAAGAAGATCATTCACAGGGACCTGGCAGCTAGGAACATTCTGGTTGTGTCTGAGCAACAAGTGAAGATCTCTGATTTTGGTCTTGCCTGCCAGCCAACATCAGGAGACTACTACATCATAAAAACCCCTTCCCGGGATCTCCCCATGAAATGGTAAAACTAATTCACATCATATGTTTCTTGTAATCCTTCTCCATTTGGCTTGTTGAGCAAACGTGAGAGCTAAGATAGGAAATGGAAGAGGAGTATCAGCAGAGTGTTTCAGCTGGCATAGTGCCCAGTTTTTATGGCAGGGGGGCAGGGTTTCAAAACCAAGGCAGGAGGGAATTTATTTCTGAGTTGGAGCCTCAGTTTGCAATGGGACCACCTGAATGCATAGAACTTCCATCTCTATGGGAGAGGTAAAATGAACTCTTTTTGCCAAATCTGACTAGCATATCCCCACACATACAATTTTACCAAAAGTGAGTCTTCATCAGAGATCGGGGATTACTGAAGGATTCAAGGTTACTTGGGTTTAGATGAGGTTGCAGAAAGGATGGCTAAGATAATGCTTTTGGCCTCAGGTACTTATGTGAGCATCAGATCCTACTGTGCTGGATGACTTGCCATATATTGTGTGCAATTGCTGCCCATTTAAGTGAATTATTTTTCACATAGTTTGATATAAACCTTGTCTTTATATCCAGATGGCAATCTATTCCCTTAAAGGAAACTTTCATGTTCACGAGAATTCCTTCGGAGAAGCAAGTAAAATTGCATCCTTTTTTCAGCAAGTACTTAAATGAACTTGAAAGATAATACTGAGGTTTTTCTGCTAACTTTTTCTCCCATTTAAGGTGGGCATTCTTTCCTGAAAAGATAGAAACCACTTATGGTCTGATCCTGTCTTGTTTTTGGTTATCCAACTAGAATTAAAAATCATATTGATCTGCCGATGGTGACATGTTGGAAATTGAAATGCAGGTAGATATGGACATGATACAGACTAAGATAATCTTTTTAAAAGAATTCATGCCAAAAATGGAAGTTCATTTCCAAATTTGAAGTTGAAAATTTTCCACAGTAGGAAAGGCACAAGTTTCTGCCATTCATCCTGGTTCTTGTCCTCAAAGCAGATGTGTATCAGTTAGCATTGGTTGGGGTGTCACATTGCCAGTTGGAGATGTTAATTCTCCTTACAGCCATCATGCGTTAGATGACGAAGTAGTGGCTGCCCCTTCTGTGACTATCTTTAAGAAGAATATAGTTGTTTTTATGGACAAGTAAGAAGGGGGTCAATGTTGACTTGTGGGGCTGGGCAATAAATAACTAGGTTATGCTTAAATAATGAAATACAAGTAAGAAATCACAAACTCACAATAATGAATGGGCGAAATCGCCTCTTGATATCACTAACTCTCCTGACTCCTGACTCCTGATCATAGCTGATGGATCCTTGCATGACAAAGGAAGGGAAGGGCAGTACATGGCAGCAGAGAAAGGGTAGCTTGCTGAACTTTTGCAAGACAATATCTAGCAGTGCTGCTCATTGTACACTCCTCCCATTTTCAAACCTTCCTTTTTTTTCCAACCCTAGTGTTTGTTTAAGGTTGGAAAACATTTTTTCAGAACTTTGAAGTTCCTTTATTCCTTCATTCCCTGAAGGATGCTTTGTGCCTCTGAAAAACTGGTTTCATCACTTTATGTTGATGTGACTGGTTGAGTGTGTTCCCTGTTGTTTTATTGTAAAATAACAAGTTTTGACATTGGCATAGGATGAGACATCATGGTTGAAATCAGACTAGTATAACTTATATAAGTTTACATTAAAGTAGCTCATTGGTTTAATCAAAATCACTTATGGGAATTGTTTTATTATTATTTTAGCAATTCAGGAAGGTTTCTAAAATTATCAGAAGTTTTGTGGCAGAATTTGTCATAACTAGCAATCATTGTGTAGTCTGTAGATATAGACCCAGGATTTCATTCAAGTACCATTTTATCATTCAGCATATGACCCGTAGCTGCTGAGTTACACATCTTTTGAGTAGCCAAACCAATTATTGGTAACTTTGTTGATTCAAATTTCAAGGTCATATATCCTTTTTAAAATTCCCATCTTGGCACTGATAGGAGTTCTGAACCTGTATATGAGAAAATAAACGTTTTGCTTTCATGATTGGAATGATCACACCACCATATTATCATGCCTAGAGTGGGAGTGAGGAGCTTCTGAGTATGCCACTTACTTGAGTGGAATAAGTGGCTGGTAAGTTGTATGTCAATGTTGCTGATGCTGCCCTTTCTCTTTGCATCTTTGACAGGATTTCACCTCCTCCCCCAACAAGGGAAGATCTGCACTGCACATCATTGCACTGCTTGACTTGTTTTTTTTTTTACTTAATTTTATCTGGCCCAGCAGAGAAGCATCATGCCCCAACACTCCTTATAGGAATAGGCCTAGAGAATGTATGGTGAATTAATGTCCATTCCTTTCTCTTGGCTTGCCTGGCAGGTATGCAATTGAGAGCATATACCCTGGGAAATTCTCATGCCAATCTGATGTGTGGTCATATGGAGTGACTGTATGGGAGATGTACTCAGGTGGGCAAGAGCCACACATCCCGGACTCAGATGAACGCGAAGCAAGAAGCATCTATCAAGCATTGAATCGGGGCCATCGCCTCCCCCAACCATCCCCACCCAACTCCACCTTCCCCCTTGAGAATGTAGATTCAGCTTACATTCAGCTTATGCTCCCATGTTGGGAAAAAGATGCCCATCTCCGACCCACCTTTACTCAACTGGTTCTTCTCATTCACCGCATGCAAAGAGGTGGAGAATGTCTTGAACCTCATTGAATCATACCATTGTGATATATTGGTCCCTATGTTACTTAGAGGATATTTTCCAAATTTAAATAGGAAAATAAGCCTTCTCCATGCTGTTCCTGCCCAACAATCCCCATTCATCTTTTGCAGTAAAATCATATTGTGACAAAATCAGATACAATGAACGTCTTGGTGAAGTGAGAGTGCAATAATTCAGTATCCTTGGCAAAATACACATAAAGAGGGGTAATTGTTAGATATAAATTGTTCCAGGTGTTGCCCACTTCCCTTAATTGTGACAAGATCATGAAATGAGAAATGATTCATGAAATAGATTTTCCAAGTTCAGATTCTGATGGAAAATTGGGTTTCTACACTTTGGAGGCAAGATATGACAGCAAAAAGAGACAAGTACAGGAGTCAAGAAGGTACAAGGCCAGCTCATGCAAAATGTAAATGGGAGGGCAAAAGCCTATATTTCATAATCAGAAGCATAACCTCCCCTGTTCCATGCTTTGGAGGGTGGGAATGTAGGGTGGAAGGTGGGGTCAAATGTGGAAGTGGTTGAGGTAATGTCAGTTCTTGCTTAGGTGCTACTTCATTGTGATAAGCTCCTGCACCTTTCCTTCTTCCTTCATCATTGTTGTTATATAATTTGGAGATCAGAAAGTAGAGTCTCACCAATATAATGGGAAATGTCTATGTCTATGATCCACACATAGTAGCTATCAAGGTTGCATCTAGGATTTCCTATCCTCATTCAGTTACAGGGAGAAGGAGGTTCAAACCCTAGCTCCTAATCAACTGAATGGAGGTAAAAAATCCTAGAAATGCCTATGGTAGCAATTATTCAACCCAAAAGGCTTTAAGAAAAAATTAAAAAATGTAAATGTTCTCTAAAGAAAAGGGAGAAAAACAACAAAATCCATATGAACAATCATTTAAAACAAGTAAATTCCATTCCATTCCATTTTGACCAATATCAGTTAGAGGTATGATTGAGCATAATGAAAGTGAAGCTCTTTTTGGATTGATGAATGATATAGCTGACATAAAATGACATAGTTTCCTTTTGCAGCTTTCATTCTATATCATCATCAAGGACAATGTGAACAAAAAAAGGGTTGAAATGAGTGTTGGTGGTCCATCAGCCTCATTTCAGGCAAAGAGTCATCTCCATTAATGTGGAACTAACTAACCATTGGCCATTGGGCCGCAGCGATGATTACCACTTCCATTTTCTACTAGGGGGCTCCTCACCCTATCTTATATTTACTATAGCAAAGTTTGACACTGTTTCCAAGACAAGGTCAGAGCTGAACAGGAGCCATTATTCTTTGGATTGTATTTATGTTTCTTTTCTAGATGGGTTTGGATGGAGCTAAACCAGGAAACCTAAGTAAAGCAGGTGTGAAAGTGGGTACTGTGCTGGGAAATGTATTCATGAAAGTAACTTATTGTCATTGCACTGGGAAATATTATCTGCCTTGTTTCTTCGGGTGCTTTGTGGGGGTACTGATTCCACTTTATAAGATTTTGTTGTAATTTGGTTTTACCGTGCATAGTTTTTAATGGTTCATTCTGGATGTTTCCAAATCCATCTTTTAGCTCCCAAAATGGTAGAAAGCAAAATTTGCTGCATTTTTGAATTGTAAAGGCAAGCATTTTTATTAACCATCCTTTTTGGGTGTAAGTCACGAAATGAAGAGAGTGAACAGGGTTTTCATAGAGTAATGTGACTGAATGGATTTATGTTTATTGGTGTTCCCAAAATGGGAATCACATTTACCCGGGAATGACTCATGGTTGGTTGAAATGTGCTGTCTTAGCCTGTACTAAATCTGTGTACAAGATCAAATCTCATCTACATTATTTTGCCTATCTGTAAGTTCTTGTTACTCAAGCTTTCTTTATCCCTACTATATGGTTTGCTATGAAAGAAATAGTTAAAATTTCTCTAATAACACTGAGGTCAGCACAGTATATGAGATTTCAGACTCACTCTTTTGATTGACAATGGTTCTGTGGCATAGCAAGGGGGGGGCGGGGGGGGGGGGGCTGAAGCCCCCCCCCCCCCCCCAAGATTGGTTCAAGCCTCCCCAACTCCAGTCTAAATGCATTTGCCCCCCTCCCTCCCCCCACTGGGTGAAGAGAAGTAAACCCCCCCCATTGGTGAAACTGTGGCTATGCCACTGCATCGGTTGGAAATTTTTTCCTGATTATGCTATTCAGTAGCATCTCGCATATATCTCTAGAAGAAAGGGGTTGGGAATGTGATGATTGATCTTGATCTTGTGTGGCCTTAGGTACTGTGATATTTTACAATGCAATATTTTAATACTTTTACTTTGAATGCTTTTCTTTTTACTTTTCCTCTCATTCTGGAGGCTCCAGTATCCATTATCAAATTCCTGTCTTTTTTTTTGTGGGCTGTGCTGTGATGAATGGTGATACATAGAGGTGTGCATAGATATATTTTTAAATCCACATCTTGTGCTTATTGTCTCCATATGCCCATTTTCAGAACTCCCATTGTTAATCTGTCTGGATTTGTTTTCTTGCACCATTAAAAAAATGTTTTTTTTTTTGGTTTGAATATATAAGATAAAAACATGAGTAGGTTTGCAACTATTTGGACTTACATCTGTTAACACTGATGATATTGATGGTGGCAAAAAGTTCAGACACTATTTCTTTTGATTAATTTTTTGTGTTTAAAATTTTGCAATGACAAATTTTGTTTGCCTAATTCTGTTCCTCATACCTATTTCAATCTTTTATTAATATCTCTGTTGCCAAATTAGTTTGCAACTCATCACTTGACCATCATTCTACAGGTATTACCAAACTTCCATACCAAACTTCCAAAAACAACATTTTAAATCTTCCAACTTAAATCTTCCAATCATCCCAATTGGGATATATCATATAACAGACAACACATATGATAAAAATCTCTCTTCCAATGTCAAAGAACAAATTTTAATATCTACAACTAAACATTTTCAAAACTTTTAATCCTGTACACTTTTTTTCTCTGGTTTAACAAGCCATTCAGCAATCTTTTGTATCCAGTTTTTCCTGCTTCTAGCAATGCAGTTATAGCTGCTCCTTTAACATCCACAGCTGTAGATATTAAAGAAAGTTTGAAATAGACATGATAGAGCAGGATTAGACATAAAAATGAGGTGTTATCTTATTGCAAAATTTTAAATAAACATGTGAAAAATTATTTCTAAAAAATAGTGTCCAAACTTTTTTGTCACCTTGTAGATATATAAATCGTAATACTTTTTTAAAATTTTATTCCAGTCACTCAACCCCTGAAAAACATCATTTAACTATACCACAGAAATAAATTTGCACTAAAACCAACAACTTTTACAGGAATTTTATGATGTAGTGAATGTAGAGCATACATTCTTCCCACTAAAGAACCTGAAAATAGTCATCACATTCTTAGAGACACAAACATACATAATATTGCATGTTCTGTGTCAAAAGTGGTAAGTTATCCTGGAATATCTTTTATCTCTCTACAGTTTATGTTATGATGTTGCTTTTGGTAGCCATGTGGTTTGTTGATCATGGTCTTTCAGTAACCCTACAAAAAGAAGCTGAGTGCTTTCAAGTCTGAAATGCATGTTGTGGCTCATGGTCTTTGGCGTCTTTTGTCCATGGTCTCTGAACTTCACTTAACTTGACTTATTTTTTATGGTGGTACATTAAGAGCAAGATTGACATCAGTAACTCACATAATCCAGGCCAACAATGCAGGGAATAGTATGACATTACTCCAGAATTGTTCACATCTTGTTGCAGAGAATATTTGCAAACTTTTGAGCACTTAGGAATGAGACCTGAATTGTGGTGGTTGTGGAATTTATGCAACACATACACATTTCTGTTTTTAAGATTTTGTGAATTTGTACAGTGTCCATAAAAGATTAATACAACTGTAATCTTTAATAAGTCATGAACAGATGAACGTACATATATGTGGTTTGCAGCAAACACTAGCTTGATATTTCTAGTTTTATTACATGCATTTCAAATTTTAAATAAATTGTTAAAACTATTTTTCAGCATGTTGGAAGTGAAATGGCGACTCCAAAAGAGAAGGCGAGTGTGTGTTGTAGTTAGCAGATTCGAAGTCAGTCACACAGGTGCATCACAAGTTCAGAACTGTTTATAGCAAGGATCCTGCTGTCCATGATTCAGCATACCAATAGATGAAGTAATTTAGTAGGGCACACGAAGTGTGCTGAAAGAGAAGAGCTCATGTGGCATCTGCAAATCTCTACTGCACAGCGTATGGACCATCTTGGGCTGCACTCAAAGGCTTCCTGTACACGTTCAACATCGGCATCCAATGTTGAAAGCCTACAGGAGCTCTTTTCCGATAGACAGGAGGACTTCTTGCTGTAAACAGTTCTGAACTTTTGCTGCACCTGTATGACTGACCTGCAAGTCACAACACACACTCGCCTTCTATTGCGGAGTTCATCTGTTCATGATTTATTAAAGTGCAGACTTGTATGAATCTTTTATGGACGCCTTGTATTTCTTCCAGTGAAACTTTATTTTATTTGAACGACTTTGAAATCACCCTGCTTTTGTGTTCCGTATTGTATTGAGATGTAAAATCTTAAATTGTTTGGAATATTAAAAGTTAATTGTTTGTTTGCTGAAGTTGTGGATATCCACGTTCAAAACTATATGTAGATGACCAATTCTTTGCCATATCTTCATACTTTCATATGATCCCCATTGCATACCTCTACTGGTACGTGTATGTATTGCGTGTGCCAATATGACAAAAATATACTGAACTTGATGCAAAACCTCGGCCTTTCACTGTTTAAGCACCCAACTGACCATCACAAGGGAAGGGTGGTTAAAATTTAATGGAGCCATGTTATTTGCATGAAACAAATTCCTTCATGAGGTTTCAGGCTTTCGATAGAGTGCGGTGTATTCCCGTACTTAGAGATATCTCTATCTCAGTCTATCAAAGTCTTGGTCGAGCGTTCGTAGCGTGAGGACGTGTTGGAGGATACTCTCGAGGTTCTGTCAGCTAAGTCGTGAGTTAGTTGTTACTTGGCTACTTTGTAGCAGTATTCATAAGTTTTCTGATAGCTACCTCCAACTTCACATTAGATCAGTATCAATCAGCTTAATTACTTTAATTATTAGCGCATTACTCGTAGTATTCCTTTTACTACAAGGACTTACAGTCCTTGTAGTAAAAGGTAAGACTGTACTTACAGTACAGTCTTACCGGGTTACAACTAGTGTGAAGTACTGCAAAGTATAAGTCTAAAGCAGTAGGAGTGTCAATAGGGATCAATAACATTAAGTAAGATGCCTAGGATGTGTAGATGCGTTCGTTGCGGGGATTGGGTAGGTGGGACTAGTGAACGAGAGGTATGCCAGGTATGCAGAGTCTGTAGCTTGGGAGGAGGAGCGACTAGGGGNGCGATCCCGAGCAGGCTAGACAAGGGAGGAATCACGTGGTCCAGGTCGGAAGGGGTTAACGACAGTTAACCCCTTCAGTTCGTTCATAAAGGATGGTATTCCAGGTTGTGAGAAACGAGGAAATGAAAGTGGCATCTATTAGTAAGGAATTTTGAAGTGCCAGAAGGCTGAACCTCAGAAGGAGGAAGTTGGACAAGTGATAGAGAGTGTGATCGGGTGATGGTCTGAAATGTAGGAAGTACAAAGTATCTTTGGAAAATTGATGCATGCTAAAAGAGATTCATTAACATAAAAGCGATCGAGTCTAGCTTAATTCTACCTGTGAAGGTAAAATCCGTGGTGATCGTCAAGTCAGCAAACCCAAACAATTACACGTTATGTCCATACTAAACAAGATGGACCCTTCCTACATCCAAGGAGAGCATGCGACATGTTCGAGCTGTGTTCAAGGAACGGGTGATCTTTACTGGTTTCCTGACTTTACGATCACCCTGTATTTGATTAAACTCTCTCCAGGCGTCGACTTGACCACCTGATCGAACTAGCGTTTGCAGACGAGTTGGTAGGATTTTCGATGCTCACTATTGTTTTTCCTGTCAATGGTTGGCTGTAGGGTGCAATTAAAATCCCCTCATCCCCATAAAAAAAAGAGGAGTATTGAGAAGATCAATTTCTAGTTGGTCAAGGACTTGAATATCGAGATCATCTGACTGAGGAATATAGACATTGTAGACTAGGAAGGGAAGATCATTCCAAACGAACTGAAGCAAGAGAAGGTAACCTTTCACAATTTCTCTAGGCGAAGAGAAAGACGAATTATTTGGAAAAGCAGTGAGGACTCCACAGTGAAAGGAAGGGTTAGAGCTTGAAATGCTTTCCATTCCCCATTCATCTAAATGAATTTTTCCAGAGTGAGGGAGGTGAGTTTCTTGAAGGAGGACTAAATTAAAACGTAGTTCATGGAGCAAGGTAAAGGATTTACGAAACTGAGATGTTCCTGCAATTCCGTTTTCATTCTGACTGCAGACATCCATTCAAGGTATGAATTCTCACTCGCTTATTGTAATGTACTAGGATGTGTCCTTGAGGATTTTTCAAGTTTTTTTCTAAACACCTTTCAAGCGGTTGACAAGTTCCTTATCAAATGAGATTTCGCAAAGGGCATCAATCATCAGGCAGAGGTCAGGGAAGTTTCGGGTATAGTTTTTGGAAAGTTTTTAAGGTGTCTTGGAGTTCCTCGCTTGATTAAGGAACAGCAGGAATTTGTCAACATTAAGAGATGGAGAAGAAACGTGCACTTTAGGGAGAACCTTTTTTTCTGTTTCAGAGAGCTTCAGATAATCGATAAGTGGTTTCAAACTAGGTCTTTCACTGTTACTTTCAGAGCGAAAGTGTTTCACCTTTGTTGTGGAAGGGCGTGTGGATGTAACAGAAAATGAGCGTTTTCGACCAGAGTTTGAGGTTGATGGCAGGGACGGCCATTCTGCGACTAATAACACAGATTCTGTTCCTTGAGCTGCAGGATGAATGGAGTTGTCTGAGGTGTCCATGTTGTGTATGGGTTCAATCTGGGAGGTGAGGGTTGAGATAGTTTGCTCTTCCTTGTCCATATTAGAAGTAGAAGGAATGGTGAATTCATTAGGGATAGGAGGGCCTGATATTTCTGATGAGGTTGGAATTTGAGTGGTAGGTTCAGATGTTTGTTATGAGGTTGGAACCTGAGTGGGTAGTTCAGAATGAGGGGTGTCAGCATCAATGTTTCCATTAGGGGAAGGATTCTTCAAGAGGGGACAAAAGCGATTTGAGTGCCCTTCCTTCTTACAGTTAAAGTATAGGAGGACTCCAAGAGAGGAAGGTCCTGTAATTGCGGTTCTCAAAGCAAAGCAGATTGGCATTGAGGTGGGAAGAGTTTTTTTTTAGTACTTTCATTTTGTGTCAGTTGAATGCAAATTAGTCTACGAAAGGATTTGATGTTTCCTTAATGAAGCTATTGAATGAAGAATGAAGCAATAAAAGAACTATCACATTTGAGGTCACTTTTCCCAATGGTGACAAAGAGTCGAGCAAAACAGAATCAGGGAGTTCAGGGGAGACATTGGAAACAATTATTTTTCTGGAGGCAGAATCCAAACGCTGTACCTCGACAAAAGATCCATTCAGACAGAACTCAGAAGCAATGAGAGAATTGAGAGCATCATTAGATTCAAGGTATAAACAAATGAGACCATTAGCGTAGCGAATAGAAGAATAGAAGATTTCTAAACTTATCGCCTAAACATGCTCTTCAAGAGAAGCATTTTCAATGGCTTGAAACAGAACTGCATTTTTCTTGGAAGTATCTCTGCACTGACATGCGAGCGAGAATACATGGCAAAACCTTTACCCCTGCAGACAGGAGTCTGCAAGGGGAGAGAGGAAGGAAAGGAGGAAGAGGCTCAAGGACACGGAGGAAGGAAGCTAGTCTAAAAAAAAAAAAGGAAAGGGAAGGTTCAAGGGCACGACCGCTAAGCGGGGGGGATGGGGGGGGGGGGTTCTATATTATGAAAGGGAACACACTGAGTGCCAAACTGAGAAAGATAACGAACAAAAAATCAGCTTATTGCAATCAACATGAGGAAAGGAAAATGGACATACCGAATGATGAGAAGTAAAAAAAATAAAAATAAAAGTAAAGAAAAAGACGAAAACGAGAGCTCAAGCGGACACGACGACCAACCGTGGAGGCGACCGCTATGATGTTATATGATATGATATGGGGCTCTTGTATAGCGCATCGGAGACAGTTACTTCTAGAGGAAAGTGTGCCGTGAGCATTTTCATCGGACAGTCAAGTTTATATGCAAGACAAGGCCCTTCCGTAGTCCCGCGATGCTAGGTTTTCAAATTATGTTTGCTTTGCGCATAGATCCCTGAAGTCCGTATTTGTCGACGATGGGCATGATGCCGATTTAACCAGTGATGCCGGCGGCCGGGACTTCATTCCATCGCTTCCCCTTCTCCCCTCCTGGCATATTCGAAGAAGGGTTCCAGTAATTGAACACAGGGTTCGCACTAGCTTTTTAAAATCTTGAGTCCGGGCCGCTAGCTTCATTTCAGTGGGAACATGTTCAGGTGGTTGTCAATGAGTCCCATGGACTTAGATGTGTTGCAAATATGAGTCCCTCCAAGGAAATATGAGTCAGGGACTCGTTATAGCGAGTTAACGTGAACCCTGGAACACGACAGCTGATACATAACGCACAGCATGATTCTTTCGGCAGATCCTTTTCGTTAATTAATAGTTTTTAAAAACTTTGCCAATTAGTGGATCACAAATTAAATGAGCAGATTAATAAAATTGTAACACACGCGATGAATTCAAGTCAAAGTAAGCTTCATTTTTCGCCGTTGGTTTCACAGTTGAATTTCGATGAATCCATGACATGTTAAGGATTCCCACAGTTATGTCGGTGATCCGGTTTGAATTAACCTCTGGATCCCCTGCATCAGGGTGTTCATATCTAGGATGGAAAGGTGCCCGGAAATCCTTGCGGATTGGGTCCGTTCCTCTTGCTCATCGCCAGCGCTTTCAAGCCCCGATTCACCGAGTGAACAGCCACACTCCCGCCGATGATGGTCAGGACTGAAAAGCATATATCAATTCACCCAGCTTAACCCCTTCAGACCTGAATTAAAGCCAGTATCGGAATATCCTTTTTTGCATGTTTGAGCTCTTTTGCAATTAGAATTGAAATTGTTATGCTTTATACATCGTTTTTATATTTGGTATAAATTTACCATATCATACCATATATAATATATTATTCATTTAATTAGATAACTGAAGGTGATAAAACTGACGGGTGGAAGAAGGCCTCCAATGGAATTGAGACATGCCTAATTTCGATTATGCTGTACTGAAGAATGATGAGACCTGAACCCCTTTGACCTCAGCTTGAAAATTTCCTTTAGTTTTAATCCTTTAATTTTGACATTTCCACGCCTTACACAGAAAAGGAAGGCACTCAAAAAAGCGGGAGAAGAATTTCAGAGGACAGTGTGCAAACATGTAATTTCACTTACTGGCTGTTGAAAATGCAATTGATATACGTAGAGTATACAAATTGCTATCAGTGTCAGTGGACCCGAACGCAATGCTGGCAATTCCAAGTACTATCGCAAGGATTCCAAAAGCGATGAGAACCCAGCCTGCAGTTCTGATCTTCTTCGCCATCTGAAACAAGGACCTCCGACAGTTCCATTTCCATCGAGTTTTACCGTCTAATGAAACGGGAAGGAATATGAGGCGAAGGACGGACCTGGACGGTCACTGTCGTGAGCACGAATGGGAAGGAGAGCATGATGATGTCATCTGCTGATCGGACAGCCGAGCTTGCCATCTTCTTCGACCGGTAAAGATGTTATTCTGAAGGCGAACGACGAGAAACACGGTGACGAGCCCAACAGGTAATCCCGGGAAAGCCAGCAACGGGTTATGTTTATCACAAGCTAAAAAAAAAAGGACCACTGACTCCCGCAGAGGATGATACTTCCGACCACCGCAGGATCAGCAACCACATAAAGAATTACCTTCACAGAAAATCTGCCAATTTAAATTTTCAAACTTTTGTTTTACTTCGACAAGTTTATGCTCATCAATTTTGCATGATATGTTGCACTCTTGTGTATTTCATTCTTAGTGGTACTACTAGTCATTTAAGCTTTGGCATTACCTTTAAAGTAATTTATAAGTAGGTCTATTTTAAGCAAAAAAAAAACTTGCTTTGATATTCATTTCAAAATCAGGTGCTAAAATTGTGTATTTCTGACGCTCCAGAAGCATCACACACAATATGAGTTCATATCCACATATTTTGTTTTTCCTCCTAGGCCTTCGAGATCTTACGTCATCACACGACATAGCATACACAGAATGACACGAAATTATGAACTTGGGTTGTGAAGCAGGTTCCCGAATATACAGAAATTTCTTTTTTATGTCCGGTAGTGTGATTAAACCCGTGCTTAGAAATCAAGAATTATCTATTTTGGTCGATTTTTGCCAAGTTAAAACACTTTTTCACCCTCACGACCTTGCTGAAACACACGCGTTCAACTCAACGTTGCACCAAGCAGTTGTATCGTTTTTTTAATGTTAGCGTTTTCTGTGCACTTTTTTTGTTTTCTCAGTGATTTTCACTGTCGCCCTATTGCAGAGTGAGGAAGCACGCCTAGCTGATCGTCAGCGATCAATTCCATGGGTTCCGAACACTTGGAATAAGGAGCCGATGGAATGCTTCCCGATTGACAAAATCCTATGATCAACTGGCGAGCAAGTCGGAGACGCGCGAAAACTTTCGAAAACGAAGAGAATCCAGCCTTAATCGACCATCAGCACGTGCCCGCCGCTGCGGGGACAGGAGGCCCAGCAGACACAGCAGCCAGACCCTTCCTTCCGCCGTCGTCTGTCGGCGTAAGACTGCCAGCAAAGGATGTGGAGCAGCCTTCCAGTATCAGTCATGCGACGGTGACACTACGCTTCGGCTAACTCATCTTCATCACCTTTTCGTTCCTTCGATGAATGTGAAACACTCGTTTAGTAATACTGTTAAACCACTCGAAACCATTCCTTCCACTTGATTCATCAATGATGACTCACTGCGAAGGGACGCGTGGCACGACCAGCTTGAGAGCCACAGATTCGGCCGAGCAACTGCATTAACTTCGCAAATGGCAGTCTGGGCTGGGAAGTGGTGGAAACGAAGGGCATCATTTCCGGAAAGCCTCTTTCACTCGAGAGACTCAGCAAGGAGAGCCCAAAAGAGCTTTCACTAGAGGAGAAAATTGAGGCAAACCTTTCGACTCGAGTCTTGCAGGAAGACTTCGAAAATAAGGGTGAAAAGAGAAAGCTGTCGACAAAAGCAATGCTCTCTGTCTGCTTCCTTTTCTCTAATATAGAATATAGGATGAATATAAAAATCCCAATTGAGTAAGCCTGAAAGGATGAGGGACATGGCTCCTCCTTACTTCTCAACCCGTTTTCGCAGAACAGATGATATGCAGCGTGCATGTTGAAATTGCGAAAAGGCCTGTTGACGTGAAATAGCTTATTACGCTTTTCTGTGGATTCAGATAAGGAAGTACTTGTGAGTTTGGGGAAGTCATTTTCCATGGAGATGCACACTCGTGACTCGAGTATTCATTCGACCATTTCATTTTAAATAGAGTCGCTTCGAGGAAACTTTGATGGAATTGCGGTGAAGTCACAGAAGGCCACTGGATTTTCAAATTTTCAAAAGAATTTTGGAAAATTTACCTGGCATGAAAGTAAAGCAGACATTCCGTAATCTAACCAATACGTTCTTTTTCTAAGCCGCTTTTCCCAATTTAATGGGGTTGCGATTCGAGCATCCCCCAATGATCTCGATCCTGGGCAACAGACTCAAGGTCAGTTGGTGGGATGCCGAGCCTCTCGTGACAAAGCCGAGCGACGTAATCACTCCACCTTGTACGAGGTCTACCGACAGGTCTTTTGCCGGTCATCTTGGCCTGGACGACTCCCCTTGGGAGCCTCCCAAGGGGCATGCAACAGATGTGTCGGAACCACCTGGCCTGAGACCTCCTGATCCTGAGAAGCAGCTGCTCGACGTGGAGACTCTTGCGGATGGCAGAGTTCCGCATCCGATCACGGCGCATTACGCCAGCCACTCGACGCAAGAACCTCATTTCGGCAGCTTGTATTCGCGATCTGGTGCTTTCGGTCATTACCCAAAGTTCATGACCATAGGTGAGGGCGGGGAGATAAACACTCTTAAAAACCGAGAGTTTCGCTTCCCTAGAAACTTCCGATCTGGCAACAACGGTTTGCCAAAGTTCCCGCGGAACTGCAGAAGCCTTGGAGATGCGGTTGTCTTCACTAATAATAAATGGCTCTACATTGAAGATCTTTCATCCTACCTCATCCCCCAACTCATGTACAAAATCTTCACTGGAACTGCTCCTAGTTACCTCTCATCATATCTCTCTCAACTAAAAGATACCGCACACTACCTCCGCTCCTCCACATCCATGAAGTCATGCCTCCCACAAGCCCCTACAAAAGCATCCCAGAAAAGCCTTAAATTATAGGGGCACCAATAATTGGAACTCCCCTCTTCTTAATCAATCCATGTCGTCCATCACTCGAGAACCAGACCCCGAGGTACTTGAACTTATCCACCTGTTCTAGTGGGACCCCACTGACATGCAGGGTACACTGAACAGGATTTCTCGAGAGGACCATGACTTCTGCCTTGGAGACGCTCGGTTTAATTCCGGCCGCAGTGCATTCGGAGTCGAACCGATCGAGCACGCTCTGGAGCTCCTGTCGAGAGCAGGTCAAAAAAACGGCATCGTCGGCAAAGAGAAATATCCTTTCCGCGACGTCACCAATGTTGATCCCCTCCAGACCGAGACTGCGCCTACAGATCTTGTCCATGTACACAAGGAACAGGAAAGGTGAGAGGACACAACCCTGCCGGAGTCCAGCGCGTACCAAAAAAAATCCGAACTCCTCCCGCTCACTCGGACGCAGCTTCTGCAATCGTTGCATATGGACTGAACGGCCCGCAATAGCTGACCCTTGATCCCATACTCCTGCAGCACTCCCCACAATTTTCCTCGGGGTACACGGTCGTAAGATTTTTCAAGATCCACAAAGCACTCGCATGTACAGGTATATACAATCTAACCAATATATAAAGCATATTTCTTAAGGAGCTTTTAGATCATTGGTCTCTGCCATGCCCTTTTTAGTCTTCGTCTGTCACATCCTCCGTAAACCAGGGGAAATTCTGAATAACTTTGAGGAGGATCTGCATTGATACTCGTTGATTCGTCTGCTATCGGTTGGGAATAAGCTCATGAGAACCATCTCCAAGAAATTAACCGCCCAAAGAATGAACTTAAATGGAAGGTGAATTGGACGAGGTCGCGCTGACCAGTAAGGACATCGCAGAAATATTGCTCTGTACTTAAATTATCTATGTACCACTCGAGTGTTCCACATTCAGCTAGAAATCCACGCAGATGACAAAACTCTGCTCACTCAACTTATGAAACAGGTATAGCGCATTGATTTGATTCGTATCAGCGGTTCCTTAGTGCTCGTCCAATGCATGCGCACAAAATTGAAGTGTGAAAACGTGATAAAGGTAAAAAAAAAACGTTATAAAAGCATTTATTCTACACTCCTATGCTAATGTTGCTTTGAGCACTTCCAAAAGGGACATTTTAACGTCATGCTAACGTTCATTTTATGTTTGGGAAGAACACTCGAACACACTCAATAAGAGTATTTCGAACGTTGCACTAGCATACCTGTGTTTGCTTGGCACTGGTTGGTACTGTGGTCACGGGCCCTCTATGACGTGATCGTCCTTCAGCGACTGATGGTGGGAGTGACTCAAGCCCTCCGGCCTTTTCATGAATAATATGACGATTACCATGCGAGGAGCATTATACGTGCATCGATCGTACTGTAACTTGGCGCCCCGTACGAGAGAGGCATGAGGAAGATGGTCGTAACCCATTGACTACACATGACGCACCTCTATGCATGGCTCGCTGTGCCTCTGATACACGTGTTGCACCAGTATGCGTCATGAAAATGTCAAATTCTATAGCCCCCCCCCAAAATCCAGCTGTATCACGTCTGCATTTTTGCAGCTGCTTTGAACAAGTAGGACTCCACGCAGGTGTCTACTTCCAATAACACAACTGTCTGTGAAACATGTATGATAAACTTATAAAAGTATATAATAAAAACTAATTTTAAAGGGAATGCAATTTCGCTATTCTCCGGTGTCTCAGAAGTACGGCGCCCTCAAAACGGTGTGTAGTCAAGGGGTTAATCGAAAGGCACGCGTGGTGTTCAAGGTGAAGGTCCAACTGGCCTTGGGTGCGACTATTTATATGGCAGCCAAGTATCATCGTGCTTCATCGCTCCGCCCCTCGTGGCTTTTACCAGGACAGGTTTGCTACTGAATCTGCCCAAATATCCCTTTTCACGAAAAAACAGCGCTGGGGTATCCCATCTTTAGAAGGCAAGGAGGAAATCGCGTGGAATCCTGAGCCCCTTTCGAGGCGGAGCTACGCACGATTCTCCTCTCTCGTCCGCTCTCCTTCTATCGAAGCCTCATGCCCTTCACACAGTGGCGGATCCTGGGGGAGGGACGACAACCCCTCCTCTATGGCCAGGTTAACATTGAGGCAGTGAAATAGATATTAAAGTTTTTTCCCCAAACGAAAAATGAAAAAGGCTATAGGACGGGGAGTGGTGGGTGGTAGGTGGTAGGCGGTAACCGCCCCCGCTATGAAAATTTTCTTTATCCGCCACAGCCTTCACACGCCTTCTGGGTTTCCCATCATTGACAACAAATACAGAAATAAATTACAGGCTTCGACATCGCAGGAAGACATAAAGAGCTAAAACAGGTGGAACATTTTCCTCATTGGGGTTCTGGCTTCTTTCCGTTAAGGATTCTCATTCCAGACACTCGTTATTCCCATAGGTATTACGGGGAAACGGCAGATATTGGTTTTTTCATTCTGTCTGTCCGCAGCATCCATAGTAACCGAACAACACAACTCACTGTGCATGTGCAGCTTTCCGCATGGGTCGGGGTGCCAGTGTACCACTAAAACATTCACTTCCCTTCCAGCCCTTGTGGAGAGCGAGGAGGCTTCGAGGGAGGGGAACGGCTACTCGCGGTCGCATAGACAGGTTTGCTGGGTGTACACATGAAATGTCGCATCTGGCATCCTACACTTCATACGCTCCTCCCATCTCCACCCGACGCAGACGCGCGAACCATCTTAACATGTCTAGTTGTTCTGGGCCTTTTAATATAGGCCTATGATGCCTAAATGCATCTTGCACCCATTATAGACCAACCCTTGGTCGACAGAGCCACTGAGTAAGTCTAGATTCGTCAATAAAGACTAGATGCTTTTCCTACCCCTCAGAAAAAAAACATGCTGCATATTCCTCTCTGAGATCCAGGAAATGGAGACTATAAATTTCAACAAAAATCCTCGAGTGACATATGTAGGTCCCTACGTACAGCTCGTACAGACCGCTTTTTACGCCATGTCCTTGTCGTATTACTCTACACGTCGTAGAATAGTACTACTATTGTACATCGTAGCATCAGAATCGATACTATGCAGAATACTAAGATGAGAACTGGCATAAAAAGATGCATTTATGGTGTCAAGAGAGAGAAATCTTTCGAACAGTGCTGAAACTCTATCCACCTCCTGCGCGGAAAAGGCACATTTTATGACTCCACTTTGAACGACTGTCAATTTTTATTCCGACACCCTATGCACATGAAACTTTCAGAGAACAAATTTTGTGGTGTTTCCAATGTGATATGAAAATATCACGAACCTAGGTCATCCACAGCGGGTTTTATAAAGCCCCAAACAGGACGCGTTTTTTTTTTTGCGCCATCCGATATATAGTCGCCTCTTCACAGCTAGAACTTCTTGCTTCTTCTTGGTCCATTTTACACCTACTACTCAATGTATCGGTGATGTAGCAGGAAAAGAATGAGGGAGTGTGAGACTGGTGTCCCGTAGGTCTGACGACCTTGGGGCTCGAGATCCGGGCGGGCGATTGCGCATTCATACCCTGGCCTCCACCGCTTTTTTTTTTCTTTTTGGAAATGAATATTTTTTCTCTGTGTCGGGACACTGCAATAAACGAGAAATTAAAACCCCTGAAGGAAGAGGACCAGACAGTGTTAGCACCTATTGATAAGATGACTAGAGATCACTTCATGGATCTTCCCGTGCAAACCAATATAACTAAGTTTGCAATTTCTTTCTCAGATCAAAGTGGAGGATTTCATACAGTCATATGACCACATGAACTTGCTTTTCTCCCTTCCTGGGCTCAGAGTTACCCTGGGTCTCGTTGGGTTGGGTTGCCTCTTTCGTCGAATGTATCCACAATACCTTCCCCGGTGTCGTCTGTGGAGAAAATATCAAGTACCGTTTCAAAAGTACTGAGGCCTCGTGCCAGTTGCACATATATAATAGCTCTCTGTGTTTGCTATTTTTCATCTCACTTCGGGGTTAGGGAACCCTTTTTATTTGAATAATTGTCAGATGTCTCTCCCAACATCTGTTGATGTGACATTGCCAGGACATCGAGTATTCAACTGAAGTGCAACGCGATTTCCACGTCCTCGCCAGATATATATTTTCAAAATCGAGATAATGTTGACTATGCATTGGATCGTCAGCTTCAGCATCATCCGCCACCGATCAACATAGAGTCAATATTGTTGTGCAGACTGGGCACTCATGCAACGATGCCTTGCTTCAACACTTCTTTGATGACTGAGATTTCCAATAGTCTTTGAGTACCAATAATCGAACGATTGACAACTGATGCTTGACATTGAAATATTGACATATTGACATGGACAATGACATATAATTGGCAACTAAGTACCAGATCCTTTTCGTTGCTGTCGGTGAATAGCTGTCACCATGTGAGATAAATATATAGATGATCTCAATGAAAAAAGTTTTAATAGCTTTAAAAACTTTGCCGATCGGCAGATCATAGGTTAAATGGGCAGATCAATAAATTTGTCACGCACACGTTGAATCTACGAGATAAAGCAAGCTTCATTTTTTGCCGTTGACTTCGCAGATGGATTCCGATAAATCGTTTTTTTTCAAGGATTCTCGTCACAGTCAAGCACAATGAATCTGACACATCATTCGCGCTGATGATCCGTTTGGAATTAGCCTCAGGATCCGCTGGCTATGCGTCACCTCTAGCTTGGGACGGAAAGGTGCTGGGGAAATCCTTGCGGATTGGGCCTGTTCCTCTTGTTCATCGCCAGCGCTTTCAAGCTTCGATTCACCGTATAAACCGTCACACCTCCGCCGATGAGCGTCAAAACTGAAACCATGTCAATCCAGACAACTTACTTAACATTCGAATCAACTGAATCCTGTTCGCAAGCAAATTTTGCCACCAAGATCTGAAATTAACCTCGAGGTTCCCTTTCCCATACTCCCAAGTACTCGATGAAATAGGTGCGATCCATAGAGATACTCGACGTTACTTGACAGCATCTACAAATTCGTCGACACTGCAACTGCTACGTTTTGGCTTTCACTTGAAATAAATAAACTTCCGTTCATGTAATGAAATAAAGCCTTTCCAAATCTGATGAGGTCATAGGAACATGTACACTATGTATAACTAACATACACGTGTTTTATGAGTATGGGACCCTTGCATTATTTAACTGTTTGATGGATAATTAAAAACTTTAAATGAACTGAAGAATCTGTTCCCTCTGACCATGACTAGATATTTTCCTTTGCAGCCCCTTTCACGTCCGACATCGAAAAGGGAGCAACTGAAAAAGCGGGAGAGGAATTCCTGAGAGCAGAATGTAAGCATATATTTTCACTTACTGGCCGATGAGATGAGTCCGATTGCATTGCTGACTTGGAAATCGTAACTGAACGACAAAGCCACGAGGGTGATTCCTAGTCCGGCAAAAAGGATTCCGATTGCGATGAGAACCCATCCCGCAGTTCTGATCTTCTTCGCCATCTGGGACACGGACAGCCGAGAGTTCCATTTCCATCGAGAGTATCGTCCCTCGTAAACCAGAAGAGGCCGAGAACCGACCTGGACGGTCACTGTCGTGACCACGAATGGGAAGGAGAGCACGATGACGTCATCTGCAAATCGGACAGCCGAGCTTGCCATCTTCATCGACTGATAAGGATGTTATTCTGAAGGCGAACGACGAGGAACACTGTGACGAGGTCAAAAGGTAATCTCAGCAAAGTCAGGGATGGGCTAAACTATCGTTAGCTAATTAATAGGCGATCACGTGCTGCAGCTAGGCCAATGGATGCGAATGTAAAGGAGCCGAGTCGGGCCTAGGACACCCGTTGAGGACATACAGTATTTCTCGACCACAGCAGGATTAGTAACGACATAACGAATTACCATCCTCATAGCCCATTCGCCAAGCTCTAAGGAACTGATTTCGATAGTTGAGGTGCCTATAGACTTCTCGCGTCTTGCTGATGCATTCGGTTGCGGTTCGCAAGTACTCATACAGATCTTGTAATAGTTAAGATTTCCGAGAAATGAATGCATCTCAGCATGTGAGTACGTGTATTTCGATTACATCTAGGATTTAACGAGGGTAGAAAATAGCAGGAAGTTCTTGCAGATAAGTAACAAATAATAGGGACTATCCTAGGTCAAAAATTATTCAACCGATTTTGACAATATAGGTACCAAATATCATGGCTTCGTCAAGAAGTTGTTCCTTCTGGTCGTCCCCGGTACTGCTAGTGCCAGCGTCACTTAGGGGAAGTTGTTCCTCATAGGGATGCATACTTGTGACTCCATTCAATATTAAATCAGTGGAGTTTAATGTAAGTTAGTTTAAAAATTAGATTAGTTAGTAGTGTTAGTTTAAAATTTAATGTTTAATGTTTAATGAACCTCTTTGAGAAAACTTCGATGGAAACGCAAGGAAATTAGGGGATTGATCTAGATTACAGAGGGTTGTTTGGCACCTATGTTAACGAATTAACAAGATGTTCATGGATTGACTTTTATTTTTCCAACCACTTAGCATGTTTGATCTGATGCCCCTACATCCTAACATTAGTCTGGCATCTCATTTTCCATTCGAAGAAGCTCATCCTAAGTAAAGCTAGAGGTATCCTCCCCCGTGTCTCCCCACGTGAGCTCACTGACCACTAGCCGCGGCTAGCCAGTTGTACCAGCGACTCCCTACCTACCTATAACGGCCTCCAGCTAAGTCCTTGTGTCCCCTTGACGTTCTGTGCTGACCAGTGAACATAAGCTCATTAGTTACAGCTGCGTCTTATCGACGTCACTCCTTTTTATATTCCTCTCGTCCTCCATAATCGCTAGTTACGGATATCTTCCACTGACAACAAGCCATGACCTTCTGTATGTTCCCCCCCGCCCCCTCCTTCTTGAGGAAACGATAGCGGCACTTGTTGGATTCATCCAGCTCTAGCTCCGGCACCTTGCGGATGATGGATCAATTGTGGGGAATGGGAGAGAGGAGTTGCTTGTGGCAGCGAAGACAGGGTAGCTAGACGTGCACATGAAATGCTGTATCTGGCATCCTACACTTTATATTCTCATCCCACCTCCGCGCGATTCATCGAAATCATGTCAGGTTATTCGGGCCTTTCATATAGGCCTATTATGTACCAATGACAGCTACTATTCATTTCAAGGTGGGATGATCATTTTGTTAGCGGTCCTCTAACCCTTTGAGGACCGAGTTTTTTAAACCATTCGGGAGTATGGACGTACCAGTACGTTCATAGTCCTCGAAGGGTTAAGGAGAAAACAGACCGTTTTTAAAAGCTCTTGATCTTGTAATGCACAAACCTCATTTAACCTTCCTCGTATAACGGTCCTTTAAGTAAAGGGGTTTTTAGAGAGAGATGTCAGAAGGCACGTCTTGGCATCAGCTTAGCTTAACCCTCTCGGACGTGAATTTAGGCCATTTTCGGAATAATATACTTTTTTGCATTTTCACTTCACCCCACCTCATTTCCTTTTCTCTATAGGGCATGCCTTGTAAATAAAGGTCATTGAACGAAAAAAAACCTAAATCTTCCAGTTCCCCTCCTGCCCTCACGGATGGAGGATCTATGGTAGACAATAGAAGAGAGCGGCTGCTC